AATTACGGCCTATCATTAAGTAACACCCTGTATATATAGGGTATAAATAATGATGTATACTGTTGTTTTATTGTAAATCGTTTATTTCGTTATTCTAATAAAGAATATTTTGTTCTTTGTCCTCATTTTTAAGTTTTGGTTGAATTCCTAACAAAATTAAGCGTGGCTCTAAAATATTTGTGGCCCTTTTGCTGAAACGACAGTGTCTCGCTTTTTCATTACAAAGATCTGGCAACCATGACGTCAAGAGAAGATGTTAGTTCTGATATAACCACGTATTTGTTGGTCCACGTTATTTTGGAAAGAAACATGGAATTGTTCCTATTTTCTTTTTCTAGTAATGTAACCTTGACGTATTGAGAAGGCTTGCATGCTTCCCTTTGTTTAGCCGAAAGAGAAAGAATATCCTTACCTCCAACTATATAGAAAATTCGTTCTTGATCAGTTCACAACCGTGAACCGAAACTCGTAATACCCTACTTTTCGACTTTTGAAAGTTTGGAATTGAATTATTACATATAATATTATATGAATGTGAATAAAAATAATTATGTACAATTTTCAACATTTACAGAACGAAGGCGTGGATAATTATACCTAATTATACAACATTTTAAACGAATCTTAAACGAGGACCACACCTGATCACACAACGTATTGACGTGGCTTTTTTACCAAATAGATAAGGGTGCAAACTCAAAGCCTCTACCCTAATTGGTAAATAATTTGTCATTATTTGACAGCAACACAGCACCCAATAATTTTCTTCAAACAAATGCAATGCTCGTTAACTTGTAGTTACTGTAAATAAACCTCAACATAATTTTTTAACTAAGGCAATTTTTAAAAACGACGGCTGGATTGGTGTTCGAAATCGTATCAGTTTATCAGAAAAATTATCATTAGACTTTTAGCTCTTGGAAGAAAATTAGGTATGTAGCTATCTTTTTTTATTATTTATTTATTTATTTATTTATTTATAATCTAACATAGCGTTAATTCATTGGATTTTATATAATTCAAATTCATTTTTAAAACAGGTTTTCTCTATTAATTTAGATACGTTGTCTTTCATAGGCACCGTAACTCAAAAATTGTTTTGGGTGCCAGGCTTCTATGCGGGTAATGGAGGCTATCACCCCCTCCACATTCACACGTCACTTAAAAGTATTTAAAAAGCTATTTTAAAGCGTTGATTTTATAGAAGTTTTATTGAAAAAAAAAGGGTATTGTCAAATGTCCTATTTCTGGATAGGCTGGAGGCTCCCACCTAAATCGGGATATTTGGCATCTGGCAATCCTATATGCTCGGTGCAGCCACCACGGGTGGTGCTGCAGTGCTAGAGTACCAATGCAATAAGTAGAAACACAATATAAAACATTTATTAACTATCATAAATATAAAAGAAGATTTAATTATTTATTAATATACATATAATGGAGTATTATATATATACAGGGTGGCCATTTGAAAACAAAACAGCCAATTTTGGGCACCCAAGATCATTTACGAAAAAACGCTTGGACTCAATTTTTAATTTTAATGGCAAACATTTTTTGCTAGTTTCCCCCCCTGAACGGAAACCCTTTAGCGAGGGTGAAACTTACCCCTAAAATCTTAAATAGAAAAGGGGATCGAATACTAGCTTATTTTGAAGGTATTGTTACATAGATTATGACCCCCGGGTTTTAAAACGATATTGTCTTTCTAGCCATGATCTTTTAATGATTTGTATTTTCTTTAAAAGCTTACTCGAGTAAATTCTGGAAATGCTGACCCTGGGCCTACATGCAATAATTTGGTCTAAAACGCCCTCGGACATTTTGAAGCATCTATGGGGTGATCTGATGTTTTTAAGTGGCCCCATAAAAATCTAACGGGCTTAGATCCGGAGACCGATCCATTGATCTGAAAATGTATTTACAGGACTCGCATTCTTCACGGCTCAGCATTTGGCGTCGCCCTGAAACTTGCATGCTCGCCTTGTAAAATATCACTTTCTGAGCTTGACATGTAAATAACTATATCGAGACATCCTGTCGCTATTCCAACCTGGGCCACGACAGCTTCTTCATTTCACTTATTGGCACTTTTTGTGCACGTTGTGCTATGGGTGCTCCGCACCCAGTTTAGAACTGCTCTGGGTGCTTGCGCACCCAGAGCCCCGGGGATTCGGCGCCTATGTTGTCTTTCACAGTTTTGCCTAATTTTAAATCAACCGCAAAAACATTTGCATACCTAAAACAATATATCTATCATATAAGGGATGAGAAGAATTAATTAGTCCCACACCGTGTACTTTCAGGTATAGATCTATGAACGTGATATAGTAATATAATGTAATAAATCGTTGGTTGTCTAATTTAGTTAATTAAATGTTGTGACTGAAGATCAGTGTGCTTATTTTTCAGATTATACTAAAAATGTTTATTCATTGCATCGAGGTAGAATAAAGTAGGGACGAGACAAACACTATTTTGCGATATGACGGATGGACGCACTTTAAGTGACGGAAAAGTGTAATGAAAATGGCGACTTGAGTGATTTTATATCATTTAAATGAAGCTATTTAAAAAAAAATGGCAATTATTCTCAGCAAAACTAACTAGCTCCACTATCTCAAGTTTAACATATGACGTAAAAGTGTAATGCAAACGTGCGGACACTTTAGCATCGTCATAGTATCTCCTCTTTATTTTATCTCAATGATTCATTGTAATTAATATATTTCAAAAAGTGTAATTTACATAGTTGTACATATTCTAACAAAAAGTTGACCAAACTAGAAGATTATTACAAGTTAGATTTAAAAAATATACGGGCCTAAGTACAGTGGAGCTTACCTCTACCTTTAAATATACAGGATCCTACAACAATGGCGATGTTTTTCATAGTTAACGTTACATAGTTGTTACAAATTTTAAAAAATGGTTATAATAGGAATATACAGCCATCATGTTAAAATATATTGAACTATACAGGACATCCCAAAAAAACTATAGGAGGACCCTGTATATTTTGACGTTATTAGAAATAGAAATATGGTGATCATTTATTCCTTGTTAAGTTAGGTCAGGACTATAAAAGCGTAGAAGAGCCAGACACTTTTTATTTTATTATATTTCTGACTTGTAACTAATTTATATCCTAGTGCAAATGTGAACCAAAAAAGTGTGACTGACTCCTCTACTACATGGAAATATGTTAAAAAATACATCCACCGGGACTCGAAGATAGTTTAAAGGAACGATGACAGGAAACAATGGCGTAGCCAGACATTTTTCATGGGAGGGGGTTAACAAACATTTAATAGCGATCAGCGCCAATAAGATAGTGGAAACGGTGACTCGAAGGCCTCTATGGGGGGGGTTCTGACCCCCAACCCCCACCCCTTGGTACCTGGGTATAACTAACAATGGCTCAATCACAAACCGCCACAAGTCAAAAAACAAAGAAAATTACATTTTTGGTTCAATGGATGCAAAATATCATTAAGGTTTTACTTTAAATACCTTCCACTTACCTTAAAGATGTCCGAAAATCATTTAAAATCTAGCCACAAACTGTGTCTAAAACTGCCTCAATTCGAGTTATTTTTATCATTAATCATTAATTTTAACAGCAAAATATCGAAGCTTTTAAATAAAATATAAAGATTTTATCATTCACTGTTGGGTTTTAATTAACAGTGCTGTTCCTAAAGTGGTGCTGGGAAACAGTAACAAAGCCTACACAGAACACGAGGCTAAAAAACAAAAAAAAAAGGTTTTAAGTCAAGAACAAAATAATGATAAGAAACTTACAAAATTTTAAAATGAAATTTCTCGAAACAATAGTATTTTAGTTGTCGCAGTATTTAATAGAGCCATCGCCTAGCTGTCAAGTAATTTGTTTCTGTAAGATAAAATTCATTTGGTGGGTATATTCGTATTACTATTACCGGGCATTCCCTCTACTTAACTTGTTTTAGGTAAATAAGGACCTAGACGTGTATAGTGAATAAGGTTATGAGGAAATAGACTCACTCATTTTATAGGCAACGACCATAGCACACTGAATAGAACAGAAGTAAAAGTTGGAAATGCTTTTGCCAGTTCTCTCCCACTTTATACACATAAATTGACAGGTTGGCAGCGGATCTCACCGAAGTGGACGCGATACATTGGCGTACAAAATTATTTTATAGACAATTTCGAGTAAATAGTTTAATAAATTGTGAACATCTGTTGAAATTTTGTAAAATTATAATTTGAATATTATAATACATGTTTAATAATTATTTATAATCCATAAATACATGCGATTGTCCGGTTCCGCCGATAACAATTTAAAATTACTTATTCTATGAAACGACACTGGCAGGTAAACATTACTGTGAAATGCTCGGAGCCGCCCGACGTGGTTTGACGTTTACCCCCTCTCTACCTACCAAAAGACTTTTCAACTTTTACTTTCTCTATACAACCAGCCAGTTCTCGTCCGATCACCGCAGTTAAGCAGTGTTGGGCACGGTTAGTACTTGGATGGGTGACCGTTTGGGAACACCGCGTGCCGTTGCCCTTTTTGTAAAATTTATTTTTGTACATTTTAGATGTCTATTTTTGAAATCTATTTTTTATAGTGAAACAGATTACTTGCAGCGAAGCCCATCTACCTGTCTAAAAGAAAATCAAAACCCACAATAAATTCTAATAAATATCGCTCACAGATCCTTGTTGTATTCGGGAATTACTTTAGTTTCTAAATATGCCGATAAATCCATTAGGGTGAGTAACTGGCAGTGGTTATCCAAAAATTTTTCATGGGAGGGGTTTCTGAGTAACAAATATTTAATAGTAATTAGCGCCAATAAGATAGCGGAAACGGTGACGCGAAGGCCTCCATGGAACCCTCATAAACAATTAACTGTCGCTACTGTATTATTACTCATTCGTGAATTTTTCTAAAACTTACTTTAAAAATATTTTTTGATTAATCACTCCTTACTTTATTGTTTAAGGATCTGTAATTGGCATTTATGACCAAATATTATGGAATTTGGTCTAGTTAGTAAAGAAATGTTTACCGTTAAGAAACTTGACGAAACCAAGATCAACCTAGATATAAAGATTATCCAGTTCCAATATAATATCGGCAAAATTTTGGGAGTCGCTCCCATAAAAAGTGAAGGAAATAATAAATATAAAATATTTAAATATGCTTATGCGGTTTGTTGGATTTTTGTGGTATTTGGTCTAATGGTTTTTACGTTTTACACAAAATGGAAGCATTTTTACACTACCGTGACCGTTCATAGAGCCATTTTGAATGGTAAGTAAAAATCGATCACATCGCATCCAGTACACAGTGTGTTGAAACAGTCTGCAGGAGAACTTTATTATTATTGATTCCTCGTAGTCCTACAGCCAACGTGTAGATTTGTCTTTAAGAGACCTACAAAACGGTATAGTGAACATCATAAGTGAACATCTAACTCGTTACCGGAGTCTTGTTAGGAAAATCGCCGAGACACGTCGATTTTTGATTTCTACAATGTACATTTTTGTATGAATTGTTTACCCTTAATTTCATCCCTTTCAAAAAATTTAAATGACATGGGGTGGTGAGTGATAGCTCATTTGAAAGGGGGTTTTATTCTCTATTCAACCGTGCAAAAAAATTTGAAATTTGCTTCATTACGTGTTGATTTATTAATGTTTAAAAATAACAAAACATCACAAACAGGAAAGCAACTAAACTAACAGTGACCTTATCTAATGGCAAAAAGTCTTACTTCACGTCTGAACCAAAACCGATATCATGCAGGGCCGAATTTTAATTCTTAGGATGAGTGCGCTACGTTAATTTTCGTTATTCTGAAACAATAATTAGTCGAGAAATAATAAAGCAAATTTCAAAATTTTTTGCACGGTTGAATAGAGAATAAAACCTCCTTTCAAATGAGCTATCATTCACCACCCCGTGCCATTTAAATTTTTCGAAAGGGTTGCTCCCCTCCAGTAAGGGATGAAATTAAGGGTAAACTATTTATACAAAAAAATGTATACTGTAGAAATCAAAAACCGACGTGTCTCGGCGATTTTCCTAACAAGACTATAGCAACGAGTCAGATAGGGGGGTAAGACTTATGATGCTCACTGTATAAATATTGCGATATCTTAAATTTTGAAAAATCGAAAAGACACGTGGAATCGAAACTGTAATTATTAATAATCGTAAGTTTGTTGACGAAATTAATTTTTATATAGCCAATCTTCTCTCAAAATTAACTTTTAAAACGAAAATAGGTTAATTTTATTTGTTTTTTGCTGACAACGCATGTTCGCAACCAATTACATAATGTTCAACTTTATGAAGCTGTTTGCATAAAGTAGATCGCTTTGACACTTGCTGCGATTACAAAAGATCTCACTATGTAAAAATTAGAAAAAATATTTACCTACTTACGTAAAGAATTAAAATTCGTAAAATTGCAGAAAATATCAGAAGATATAAAGTAACTGTTCACGTAGTGCAAGTGTATCAAATGAATCCCTTGTGAGAATTAGGCATTCCAAACAATGATATAGATCCCACTCTTAGCATATTCTTAGTATATACTATTCAAGAACATGCATATGCTGAGAATATACTTTATTTTCATTTAGTACATTCTCAGAATATACTAAGTATATGTAACGTGACGTTGTTTATACGTGCTATGCAAATATTGAGAATGTACTTCAAGTATGTGTACAGTTTGCTATAGGTATCTACTTTCATTTGATATTACGTTCTAAGTATAAGTATATTCTAAATATTTAAATTTAGTATATACTAGGCATATGCTAGACACCTTAATAAAGGATGTTTCATTAATATTGAACATTAAAGAATTAATTCGTCCACTGTATTTAAGAACTGGAATCGACGGTTTTATTTGTAACCAAAACCAAACCAGCGTTTTCGAGTCCAGTGCTCGGCTTGCTCTGAGAGCATACGAAAGGTGGGAGATATGTCGATACCAGTTACTTTTCACTCTAAATAGTAACCGGTATCGATATATCGTTCATCTTTTATGTGCGCTCCTCGCAGGAAGGGTAGTGGAATCGAAAACGCTGTTAGTTTCAATTCGCCATTAGCATTAACCATGTTAATAAATTCACAGTGGCAATTAATATTTGGAATATCATGTACTTTACCATCAATATAGTAAAATTTGTGTATTTTTATATACAACAAACGCACACAATTGATGTTTATTAATTTATTAACCTATTACAAGCTCAAGCGTGATCAAACAATTTGTAGGTTATGTTATTCTTCTCTTCTATCTATTAGGTTAGGATGTGAATGTTTTTTGGCCTGAAAACTCAACATCAATGCGTTTGCTAGAGAATTATCAGATCGGCATCTGGGAAAAATTCATTTAGATATGTATATAAACGTGTTTTTACAAGTATTTGGTGTTAATTTTTACCTGTAAGCATTTAGAACGTTCTCAGAACATGAGGTACCTGCTGGGTATATGACTTTTAGTATCTTCTAAGAATATCCTGTTGTATCACGTGCTCAGTACCTATATACTTTTTAGAATATACTTTTAAGACACGTACTCAGTATTTAGAACATACCTAGTATATACTTTTAAAGTATATATTAGGTATGTTCTAAGAACCTTCTAGGAAGGACATACCAAAAAGAACATAAACAGAACGTTCTTAGTATATTCATAGAACATTGATGTTATGTGGGATAGATCATCCATATTTTTCAAAATAAACATAAGCTTATGCGTTGAAGTAAAAATGTAGCTAATTATTTTTTTACTATATTCAATGGCTGAACATTTGTTTCAAGACATTTTTGCTAAACCGATTCTGATTAATGAGTCCTTGCCAGGTAATAATATGACCGCTCGTAATGCGACTCGCTTTGAACAATCTATATAACTATATCATTGAACCTATCAAAGTCAGGAGGCAGCAATTTTGACAGATCTTCGGAATGCCTATTACTATCGTCGTTAATTTGATGAGGGAATAAATGTTCTTATATTGGTCTTTGGTCAAACAGGTCCTCTGTATAGCCGACAACCTCCTCTATGAGACTCGTGATGAGGGGTACATTGTAATAATACTCCTTTTTACATAGTAATTTCGTTTTTTCTTGGTGCAGACTTTTTGTGACACACTGCGTATATACATAAAGAATAACGCATTGATCTGTCAAAGTTTAATACAGGGTGTTTCATAAATTTTACATTTTTTTAGTATAATATACAGTTTCATGAAACAAAGAAACTTTTCAAGTACTGAACTTTTTTTCATAAAAATATATAAATATATTAAGTTTTAAGTACGTATCTGGTTCGTTTGGAAATTATCAACACACTTCTCGGCACTAATAGATGATCTAAAAAAGGGACAATGAGCGTTTAAACTAGATCTATATCGGCAGAACTTGTAGATCTCTGGGAGTCCGGATAGGCGAGCACATCAAGAAGCCGGACACATCTGCATTCGGACATCACTTGAGGTTCAATCAACATAATTTTAGCCCAACAAATAACTTCAAATTATTAGTTAACTTAACACAAAAAACTTCAATTTATTAGATTTTCATGAAGATGTTGAAATTACTCTTGAAAGAGACAACAATATCCTCTGTTTCAACACTCAAGTGAACCTTAACAGAAATTTCATACCACTCCATAGACAACTCAACTAACCCTCTATGATGATGTAGGTCCGAGTCGCTCAATACAAGCCTTTGAGAGCCATCCCCTCCTAAACTCTATTTCACTCATCAGAGCCTACCTTTGGGACCATGGTACTCTTTTGTTTAAAACTTTTTTGTTCTTTATTTTGTCTCTTTCAACCATGAGTACGCTTGATGAGTGATTTAGTATTTTTTAAGAATAAACATCAGATTCACATCTAGGGACCGCGGGTTCAGTTGTGCTATCTTGGGAAAAAAGTTCAGCAGAGCCCGAGATGGCACATCAGAACCACGCGAGTGACATTTTTGTTTTGTCTTGACATTAAAAGGATCATTAAAAATAATAACATCATTTCATATTAAATATTTCTTTAAATTTAACTAACAATAAATTCAATACTAACAAATTTTGATATCCGTTAACCACCTCCAATCACTCGAATCACACTTGGAGAAACATGTTCCACACTGAGGTGGTGCGTTCACCTCTCTTGACATTTGACAAGTCAACGTCTTTAAGTGTCGCTTGTCACCACTGTCATGTGGAAACGGTTAAACAACTTGAATAAAAATAAAAATGAATAGAAAATATTAATAATACTAATAATATGATTTAGCAAGTTGTAAATATCCCGAAATATCTAATTTTGGGAGTGAGGAGACCAGTAACTTGTTGGATACATTGTGGACAGTAGGTAGAATTTTTTTATAATTATAATGTATATACATATAAATAAAAAAACCTTCAGTTTTTTACTTTGGCCTTCTGCGTTTAAATTTCTTCATATTAACTATTGTATTCTAGATTCAAATTTCAATATATATTTTTCACAGTCACCCTCTATTTGTAAATTTCTTTAAATTTTAACTAATTTGTTAACTTGTTTTCAATTATGCGAATGAAGGTGGTATAATTCCTTAATTCCACACAAGCTAACTTGCTTCTGGAGATCAGATATGATTTGTAAGGGCTTATCCCACACTCACTATTCCCAATACTGGATGTTTGTCACTTTGTATCTTTTAATTGTTAATTTGTTCAAACAACCGTATATATACAATTTTAACTCTTGACTTAAAAGTCTTAATCAGATTTATATTTTTTAAATTGTAAATTTACATCCACAATTTTTGTAGATAAGCACTGATGATGGCTAATAAGCCGAAAGCGCTTTGCATTTATTAATTAAAAAGTTTTGCACGAAATACAAGTCTTTCCTTTTGAATCTAAACTACGTGCACACAGCTGTCAACCTTTTTTATTTCAATTATGATATTATAGCTGCGTTTGAATATCCACATCGGATGCATCTGAGATGTTGTGAATCTTTATCACGTGATTCAAAATACGTAATGTAATAGGAACAGATCTCACAAACTGATGTATTTCGTTTGTGATACGACTGTAGAAACACTTTATAGATCCTTCTTCTGACAAAGTGGCGTAACTCAAGCTGTAACCGTTATATAGTAACAGAAACTTCCGTGATGGACGCATCTCCTTACTCAAACGCAGTACAAAACTTTAATTTGCTCTCTTGTAAAATTAGGAAAAATGGAATAGGTCATTTTGTTAGATTGACGACGAGATGTGTCCGATGTGCATAAACAAACGCTCCTAAAGTAAAAAATGCATCGGATATGGATATTCCAACGTAGCATATAGTGTATATACCGTGAGTATCGTGGCTATGCAGCTGCTTCATCTAGGAACAAACACGTACTTTGAATTTTCTAGACCACAAAAAAAGAAAACATAGAATGCAATATTTTTTTTATATTTAAGATCGTCAAATTTACTTTACCTATATCCAAATAAATATGTATTAACAATAAAGTCTTAATTTTTGAAACACCCTTTATATCCTATGCGTTTAAAAAAATATGAATATTTATTTCTTATTTCAGAATAACACTGTATAACTATGTGAATTTCTTTGATTTAATTTAAAGGTGCTGAATCTCTATCCGAATTCATATTCTTATTTAGATGCCTTCTAGGAGGATTAAAATTCGATAAGACAAATTGGAAATGTTTCATGGACACTTTAAACAAAATAGAAATGAAGCTAAAAACCGAAAATGTATCCGTTAAATTAAACAGAAAGCTAATAATAACGGAAATGTTGATATACCACTCGATTTTCCTAATACTCATAGCTTATGATATGTGTACGACAAGTATGCAACTCTCTATGTTATTCACGCACAAAATGTGCCAGTATTATCAACTATTTCAATTGATTTTTATATGCAAGACTGCAAAACTTATGCAACGGAGGTACAACTTCTTAACGCAACTAATTAAAGGTACTTTCAATAGATCGGTTTATGTTGTATCAAAATCGGTAGACCGAATGATGGAGGAGAAATTGAAAAATATATTTTCAGTATACCAACAACTGTATACGCTAAGCGAGGCTTTTGACGCCATATTTGGATGGCAGATTTTTTTGATACTGACCTGCACTGTTTTTTCTTTATTGAATCACGCCAATGCAGCTTTTTTGACTTTCAAATCAAAACAAGTGTTTGATGATAATTTGCATCATTATTTGCGTAACGGGGCTTTGTATCCAGCAGCATATGTGGTAAAACATAATTTTTAGTTATTTTACAGCGTGTGTTCCAGAAATAAGTTAATACAGTAATTTTAACGAAATGGGACAGTTGTGTATAAGTTAGAAAATGTGTTCATTCGCAACTGGGGACTTCTCAACTCTCAACTGCGGACATTTTTAACTGATTATAATTCGCAACTGGTGACTTGTTTGTCTGCATTATAAGTTTTTCGACCAAATAGGGGAATACCTAAGCAAATTGTTTTAATTTCAATTTTAATTTTTCATCACAGATGAATAATAAGTGATATAGTGCGAGGCACACTGAGAATGCAGTCTGAAATCTCATGAAGCGCGCCGTTGCAAGCCGTTGCTAGGATCGGCAAAAAAAACAAGTTCGGTTTCAGACAAATTTCGATACTAGTTTAAATTTTATCTTAAAATTTGTATGTTCAATAATAAATAATAAACAATGAGTTTTCAAAATTACAAATTTATAAGTTTACAAATAATAAACTAATTTTGCGCAATAGATAAGTCATTGTAAGTTATCGTCGAGGTCCTAAATCTCACTCTCAAAACTATCCCCAAAATTTACTCTTATAAGTTCATCAACGTTGTCTTGTTGAAGATTATCAGCGACCCATATTGCTTTTTTTCGTTTTTTTACGCCAATTTTGTTCAGTTCATTGAACGAACATCCTGTCTCTTGAAATCAAAGTTGTTCATAGCATTATAGCCGCTTTACGTGATTCCATACCATCTCGATCAAGATAAGCTCGTACAAATACGGTGGCAAGCATTTACCCTATTTTGCAACTATTTTCTCAATCTTATATTTCTGGTATTGCTCTCTGTATGCTTTGATAACTTTAAGCACCTTAAAATTTAAATGTTTAAATGTTTCTTTCTAACAGCCAATTTTTTATTTCGGGTTTGTTCCATAATTAGAAAACTAAATTTACGGGAATGATGTGAAGCGTTATCCATAACAACAAAGTTATTTTGTCCATTTTGGGGTAAGTTAGGAATCAGCGACTCCTCAAACCATTGCTTAAAATAGTCGGCGTTTATTTTGTCATGATAATCGACATCATTTTTATTTGCCAATGCATCAGTAACTAGTTCAATGCCATTAGAATATTATTAAAGTAAATTTATTTCCTGGATGGCTTGTCTTATACGTTAAAAAATTCTATGTTTATCCATTTGCTAACTACCAGTTGCGAATTCTCCACAGGTAAAAATTTATCGAGTCCCCAGTTGCGAAGTTTTCAACCTGCAAAAGAGTAGAGTCCAAAGTTAAGAAGTCCCGAGTTGCAAAAATATCAACAAACTACCCTCTTGCGGCATTTTTCACAAAACCCTCAGCTTTAAAATTGATCTGGTTCTTTTCCTTTTCCTAATGGCTGTCCTGTAAAGGTATATAAGGTAAGTTGGGGTAATTGTAAAAATGAGGCAAATGTGTTAGCTCAACAGCTCTCCTACTTCATCAACCGAAAACCGTCCGCTCCTTCCTTAAATGAAAGCCCCCACTTCCTAGTTACCGCTTAAATGAAACAAGCGCGTCAAAACCCGCTTCAGATCGGTTTCAGACTAGACATGGGTAACGCACTAAAATTTGCGTTGATACACTAACTCCGGCGCACTCTATTGCGCCAACTCATTGCGTTAACGCAATTGCGTTATTGCGTCACACCACTGCCTGCGCCGAATGAAGTCGATGCACCTCGGTGTATCGCATGATACCGGTGTTATTCAGAGCGGGCTGTCCTTTTATCTTTTATAAGGGTCAAACCGTGTTCAAGGCAATAACGCAATTGGGAATTTAACTAATTTTTTTATTATTTGTTTAAAAATATAACAGTATAATGCACCCATTTTTTTATTTCATTGTGTTCGGATTTTACAAAGAATACAAAAATTACAATTTATATAAAAATGATATAACTTTTGTATACTATACTAAAGAACTAAAAACTGCCAGTGTACAAAGTTAAAATTCATAAAATTCGACCTACAATCCTACAAATGATGTGACGTGTTGCAAAGAACATAATTACTTGATAGATTTTGGGTAATCTGCATTACGAGTTGCATCAATTACGTAAATTAAAATTCTCAACTCGTCACGGAAAACGGAATCAGTGCCTGGCGCATGGCGCACCAACAACTCGCGATCCTTTCGACTCAGTATCGAAAATTGCGTTGCGCTGATACAGTAACAGATGGTGTATCAACGCTCGTAACGCATACAACTGCGTTAACGCAATAACGCAACGCAGCGCTGCGTTACCCATGTCTATTTCAGACGCTGCATAGTCGCATGGTCGACTGCTGTTATTTCACTCAGTAACCAAATTCAGCACGTGTTTTTTGAAATAGCCGTTAGATCCATGGTTTTCGGGTAAGTGTTTGAAAGTTAAATTTTTTAAATGATTCATAAGTTGTATTTTTGTGAGGTTTTATAGAAAATTGAATTATATTGTAAGTTTTTTTTCTGAAGGCCTATAACACATTTACTCCGCGGAAAAAATGAGGGCAGGGTAAATGTGTTATATACTATATTACATTTACCCCACAGGCTATTACATTTACCCCTTTTATTTTTTCAGATAAAATGGTTCGAGTTTATAAGAAAAAAGGGACCAAAGACCCTAAGTACCCAATAGAAACGTTGGACAATGTATAAGGCGTCTAGAAGATATAACATAGCAGACAGTACCATATATAGTCGCGTAAAAGAAATTCGAGGAATGAAGAAAAACTTTAAAGGTCTACAAACAGCATTAACGATCAATCAAGAGCAGGAGTTAGCTTCTGGACTGGCCACTTTGGAAAAGTGGGGTTTTGGACTATCAAAAAAGGAAGTTTTGGAACAAGTTTCTCTTTTCGTTAAAGAAAATAAGTTAGAAACTCCTTTTAAAAATAGAATGCCAGGAAATGATTGGTTCCTAGGTTTTAAAAAAAGGCGTAATCTTAGCATTAAAGTACCCCAGTCAGTTGAGTATGCTAGAAAAAAAGCCACTGATCCATTTATTATTTATCAATACTTCGATCTTTTGGAAAAACGTTAAAAGAACTGAACCTAAAAGATAAACCTGCCCAAATTTGGAACCTTGATGAAAGTAGTTTTTCCATAGATCCTAGCAAGACAAAAGTGGTTGGTAAACGTGGAAAACCCTGGGCAAGAGTAACAAGCACCCTGGGCGCGAAAACAACAGTATGTTTTCTGGCAAATGCTGCAGGGGAAAAGGCACAGCCACTAATTATTTTTAAAGGCGCCAAATATGGGATCAGTGGCAGGCTCCTGACAGTGTTTTTCCCAGTGTGTCGTATGCTGCCAGTCAAAAAGATTGGATGGATGCGGAAATTTTTTTAAAATATTTCAAAATTACTGTTATCCCTGCATTAGGCCCAGAGATGCCTTAACTTATTATATATGATGGCCATAAAACTCATGTGTCTACGGTTATAGTTAATTTGGCAAACGAGGAAAACCTTCTCCAACCACTGGACTTACCGGTTTTTAAGTCGATTAAAAATGCTTGGGATATGAAGTTGCTAAAATGGCAGCGACAAAACATTGGACGACGCCTTCCAAAAAATTTGTTTTCTAAGTTTATTGCGGAGACCTGGTCAGAAGCTAATTCCAGCGTCATTGTAAATGGTTTTAGAAAAGGCGGCATTGTTCCTTTTAACAACGAAGTAGTCCCTAGAGAAAAATTTGACAGTGAGGCCTTGAAAAGATGGGAAGCTCAAACCTCAATGACTTTAAACAGTTTGGAAACTAAAGTTGGTCCTGTAAGTATCTCCACAGCAGAAACGAGCACCAATTTAGATGAGGCGAACACTAGCTTAGCTGAGACGACCAATAGCACAGCTAAAGCCATCACTAGCAAAGCTTCATTTGAGTCACTTTTATTAAAATGCGTGACTCAAAATCAAGCTCCATCAAAATATCCAAAAACAAAATTTAGCGTTTGGGGCTGAGGTTATAACAGCGCCAAAGCAAGATGTTGTTGATGATGTTACCGATACGGCGAATTCAAAAACTAGGGTAAGAAAAGCATCCAGCTCCTCCACTGAATCTGGACATTTATCATTTCAAGAGTCAGATAATTCAAAGGAGTTTATATCTGAATTATTAGAAAGTGAGAATATTGACACCAAATTTTAGAAATTAATAAGTGGGTGTTGGTCCAATTTGCAACAAAGAAAATTGTTAAGCATTTTGTTGGCTAAATAATCAAGAAACTAGACTCTGATGAATGGCTTATCAAATTTTTAAGATCCAAAAAAAATAAGTTCTTTTGGCCTGACGTTGAAGATATTTCAATGGTCGAAAGTACAAACATAATAAAAGTTCTTCCTGAACCAAAAGAAACCAGAAGAGGGACAGTGCAGTTCACAGTGCAATTCCAAGGTTTTAATCTCTAATAATTAGTACGTATTACAAAAAAATATTTGTTACTGGTATTTTCTAGTTTTTTTATATTAATAAGTAATATAAGTTTTGTATTTTGATTTATTTTTGTATTAAAATCGCAATAAGCGCTTGGACGACGTTATCACATTTACCCCAAATCATAGGGCACATGTGATATATTGACATCATTTTAAAAAAATAATATAAAAACTGGTAAGAGAAATAAAGAAAATTATTTTATTTTACAAAAATAATAAATTACATTGCATAGAATATACCCAGATTTTTTCTAAGTGAAATACTAACACAGTGGAGACCTAAAGATTAACTGTTTAAATTTTACCACGCAATTACCCCAACTTACCTTACAAATGACTGTACCGGGTGTCCACATAAGGAAGGACGTCTCGTCTGTATGATATAGCTTCTTTCTCAAAAACTATCCATCGTGTAATTTAAAAAAAAAATGTAAAATTTGTAAATATGAATCTCATTTAATTATTTTCAAGTTTCTACCTTCACTATATAGAGATGGCGTAATTCTTTTGACTAATGATATACCAGATACCATAATAGTGGGTAGGTAGTCAAAATATAGTAAAATTTGGCACAGAATACGATTTTCGTATTTAGTTATACTTAATTTGGCATTAAAAAAACAGTTTTTTATCATTTGGCAATACGCAACCTAGTAGCGAAACTAGGAACATGAACACAATTTGGTGCCAGCGATTTCTATTCATCCCTTTTTTTTTAAAAAATCAAATCTTTAGACATGATGGGCGTCCTTTCTTAAATTTTTGGACACCCGGTACATAAATTATCTAATATTTTTAAATTTTCAGGTAGCTGTAATATTTCTGGTAATGTCGTGCGATTCAGTGGAAAAAAGCGGAGCGAATGTAATTGCAGTTTGTCATAGAAAATTAATTTATTTAGAAAAATCATCCATAAGACACGACCTTCAGACGGTAGCTAAATTTATGGAAAAATTAAAACCTAGTTTCAGTGCTGCAGGTTTTTTTGAAATAAATCAGTATATTTTAGCCACGATATTCACATCTGTGACCACATATTTGATTATTATTATCCAATTTGAATAAACTTGTCTCACTTGCAAAATTAATGAATACCTACAACAGCAATTTAATCAAGAAAATAAAAACGTATCAATTTTTATACGAATAAATAATTGCAATTTTAGTGTATGTTGCGCCATCTTGTAGACAATAGACGAATTTTCTTTTAAGTCACAGTAGTTTTCTACATAATTACAAAACTTTCCAGTGTCTAAAGTAACGATTAAGTATGCTACCAATTCAAATTTTTATTTCTGTCAGTAACCTTGTTTATGGTTTTTTGTTTTTTTTTTTATAGGTAATTTATCACACCTCCACTTATTATATTGTAATTTTAATGTACACTTCGTTGAAATGATTTAAAGATTTCTTAACCTTAAACCTTAACCTTATTTGACCGGGAGTGGATTATTTTTAGAACTCGTTTTGTTTTTATTTTTTTAAACTCTAGTAATCTTATTAAAATTACAACTCATCTAGTGATAAGAAAATATAATTAAGATTAATTTGTGGTGCTTAAAAACATTTCATAAATTTCTATCGATTAAGACTTTTACTGTAAGTTTTTAATTTTTTTTTGGTAAAAATGGCTTTTGCCGGCAAAGTAATCTTGATAACGGGGGCTAGTTCGGGTATTGGGGCCGCTACGGCTAAACATTTTGCATGTTTGGGGGCTACTCTAGCTCTTACTGGAAGAAATATGGAAAATTTGAAAGAGGTAGCTTGTAACTGTTCAACTAAATCAATTCCTTTGCTGTTAACAGCCGAATTAACTAACGAGAATGAAACCAAGGCTGTCTTAGATAAAACTATCGAACATTTTGGAAGATTGGATGTTCTGATAAACAATGCTGGAGTTATAGAAACAGGTAGGTGAATAATTTTTTCCTTTACTTTTTAACATCCAGGGGCTATTTTATTTTCAAACTCGAGAGAAATGTATTATTCTATTATTCAATTCTCTCAAGATTTTCACCCAGTGTTGCCATACCCCGATCGGGGTATTTTTACCGACAAGTCTTGCCTCCTTACCACCTCGCTTTTTATGAGATTTAATCCATTATTGCAAATGGGAAGTATCCAGTATTATTCATACCAAAGAACTAGTGATTATTGAGACTTGGTTAGGTATACCTGGAAAGTTAAATAAAAATTATTAACCACACCGGCAATTTTATTTATAAAAAGTTATTTAGGTATTTGTATCGTATCCTTTTTATTTGAAAGCTTGTCTAAATAATGTAATAAAAATAAATGTTTTTTTTGTTTTATTCTCTGTAATTTTAGTGTTTAAATTTTTTTTGTTGGTTGTGTTTTGTTTTTATCTTATACAGCGTTTTTTCTATTTAATATTTATGATATATTTTTATTTATTTATTACTGTTTTGACAAGGTTTTTATTTTTTTGTAAAATATTTTACTTTACACTACGATTGCATTTTTGTTTTGTTTTAAGAATTTGTTTATTTTATTTTTTGTTTTGTTTTAAGAATTTGTTTATTTTATTTTTTGTTTTGTTTTAAGAATTTGTTTATTTTATTTTTTGTTTTTTTTGTGTCATCGGCTTCAACTGCTAAGTTTCGCCTCGTGTTCTGTGTAGGTTTTGTTACTGTTTCCCAGCGCCACTTTTTAATTAAAAAACTGGTGTTTTTTAACTCGCTATATTATTGGTTTTATTCAATATTATTTATTTCCTCTTTTATTACATCAGATTTATGTATATATTTTTTTGTAAAAAAAAATAATGTACCTCATATAGAATTTACCCCGATTTTTAGCGAAATCTGCTTCGGAAAAAAAATTTCTTGTGGCAACACTGTTTTCACCGGAAATGTCATATGTCAACGTGGAAACAGTGTTTTTAAAGGATTAAAATTAATAGAATTTTAATTCTCTAGAAATAAACCAATAGAAAAACTAAAAAAATAAACCCAGAGAAAAACACTGAACTGTATATATTTAAAATGGAACAACAATCCATATTGACATTGACAAAAATAAGCCAAATTGAATTCGTGCATTACGTCACAGGAGTACTGGTGAGATTGCGCACGAAGTGCCTTTGCAGGTCCGTTTTAGCCATTTCTTTAATTTATTTTAAAATCATGATAAATTAATATTTCTAAAACTAAACAATAAAAAAATCAATTTTACTCTTCCGTTATATTTCTAAAGGTGGTAATAAATTTCAATTTTTGTACCATATACTGGGATGTCAAAAAATAGTAATTAGGACAGTCTTACTCTAAGAATAAACAGACGTACTATACTTTAAAAGTAATTTGTAATGGATAGTCCAATGTATCAATTTGTTAAAACTTGCCTTCTTATAATCTGTAAGCTTTTTCTAATTGAGACTGTAAAGCCTAATAGAAACAATAGATCTCTTTACACAAATATATCAATTGGAAGCATAAAAAGGTTGAACTGGCGAGGCCTTAAAACTTGACTAGCGACATTACCCACTAAACATGAAACATTACCAGTCTTTTTTGTAACGTTTCTCATAGAGACTTTTCTTGATATATTTTTGAAACCATACTAAAATATCCCATAGATGTTTAAAGTTTAACATCATATTCATTAACATTCCTCGCATATATCTACAAATGAAGTTTTATGTATGCTGGTATGCTGCAATTCTTGAATTAACAGTTACATAAACATCTTTTATACTTCTTTTTAGTTACTTCCTGTGACAAACATTTATACGATGTTAATTTTTATAAATCACAATAATATCGCATACAGGTCAGCACAGTAATGTGTACAAGTTACACATCTTTAAGATGGCTATATTTAGTATTTACATCGCAGACCTAACAGATCGTCCCGCGTTCATAGATGGAGATACCAATGATCGCTTGCTACTTACGTAACCGGTAGTAGTGTATATTATGGAGCAGTCTGTTGCCCAATATTAAGTATTTCATCAAAGTTCTTACTTTTACCTTTGATATTAATTTAGACCATTGTATTGTCAATAATTTATCATACTTTTTCTGTAAAATTTTCTGGAAAGAGAAATTAGAAGTTTAACTTGTCTTCTAAGCTTTTAACTTCAAGTTTATTTATTTTTATTCTGTTTTATATAGATGAAATATAAAATATTTATATAACATGGTCCATATAAATGTTAAAAGATAAAAATAAAAAGGTATGAACTGTATCGTATTTGGAACGTCACATTTGGTTCATTAATATGATTTTATTTTATGGGCTTTTATAATAACATCTACAAGTAAAAAGACTTTCTTGGATATAACAGGAATGTCACATCTGGTTTGTTAAAAAGACGTAATTTTTGGGAACTTCCAATAACGTTGAATAACGTAACAAGGTAGCGCTATAATATCACCGCAACGTCTACATTGTTCCATCACAAAAGTAAACGTCCCTACTCTGGACTTAGACCGTGATGAGTCCGTCCTACAAATGAAAACAAGAGTAACAATGAGTGTTACAATGTGATGTATAGTTCTCATTAATTTAACGGTTTTATGCATAGTGGGTAATTTCATTCAATTGCCCCAAACTGATCAAAGTTGGCTGCAATTCAGCAACTTGTGTGTATCGCCATTTACTGGTACAATGTCAGATTCGCTATTTCCCTGACAGTTACCAACCGAGTTTATGTAAATCTGGTTTGGAACTGTGTAAATACCTTCGAGAGCCTCGGTGTCTCGAACAAAATTACCTTGATCTGGGTTCTGGGACACAGCAATTTGGAGGGCTCGCAAAAACAGGAACTGAATCTAAGTTCATAGGACCAGAAAAATTCCTTTGAATTGAATTATCTTAAACTAGACACAGGGTCTAACACTCTTGTAGTAAATATATATACCCCAGGGCTAACCCACATGGCACACGGACGTCTAAAAGACGTCCTTCAGGGACATAAAGGACGTCCGAGGGACGTCCTATTTTGGTTCCGGGACGTCAATCGGACGTCCCATGAACGTCCTAATGTCCCGTTTCCGTCCATCTTAGGGACGTCCCTGGGACATGGACGTCCTTCTAAGGACGTCCTAGTGTTCACTGTAATCGGAAGTCTAGTGGACGTCCTATTTAGGTCCGGGACCAACCGGACCAAATCAGGACGTCCATGGGACGTCCTGTGCTATCTGGGAATTCAAAAGCGTTTATACCCAACCCTTCTATGAACGCCTCTGCTCAAATCCGTGAATGGAGTAGGAACGATCTACTCATCCTCGCGTGACTGATGACGCCACATGAAAAGGATAGTTCTGCAACAAACAACAGACTGTCAAAAAATTCTTACACAACTCAACCACCTATATAGTACGACTTCCATTTGACTCATTTTTCTATAAATCCTTTATGCATTACAGTTATTTTAATTCAGGTAGCATTGAAAACACCACCCTGGATCAATACGACCGCATGATGAATATAAACGTCAGATCCATTTATCAGTTGTCAATGTTAGCTGTACCGCACCTCATCAAAACCAAAGGCAACATTGTAAACGTGAGCAGCGTCAACGGAATGCGTGCTTTCCCAGGCGTTCTGGCCTATTGCATGTCCAAAGCGGCCGTCGATCAATTTACTAGATGTGTGGCTTTGGATTTGGCACCAAAGCAAGTCAGAGTCAACTGTGTCAACCCTGGAGTGACTGTTACCAATTTGCATAAAAGAAGTAAGTGAGATTATACACCTGTAATACTTTTTGTCTTCTCAAAACACCTGTGAAATATTCATTGCGCTGACCGTCTTTTCGTGAGTTTGACTGATGTGAACGTTTCGATCGTAGAAGTGATTGATCACATCTTACATTTCTCTTTCTAGAGTTTGACAGATGTCGTTATCTGTATGAAGATAGATGTAAACGTTCATTTGGTAGAAGTGATCAATCACACATCTTACAACTTTTTTTGAATTAATGAGCTTGGCTGATATGAACGTTCCTATTGTACAAGGTCACATCTAATAACGTTTCTCTTGCTGACGTATTCGTGAAACCCGATGAACATGATCACATGGGGAAATAATTTTCATGGTGTTGCCACTATTCATATCTTGTTTTTTTGCAAGGGCCAAAAGTTAACACATACATATCTAAAATTGTTAGAGTACAGAACTGTATAGTAACAAATAGAATATGTAAATACAGTACTGACTTTGGCCGTCGGTTCAAGGTTTGGAATCTATTGTAGTATGTAGCACATACTTTGATAATCAAAGTATGTGAGTATGTAGTATGAAGACTGTAGCCAATTTCTTGAAAAAATCACTATTCCGATACCTAAAACTGCGTTCAATGAGTGTATCGAATTCTTGTTGCGATTGAGCTACCAGAATCAGCTTGCTGAACGGTACCCTCAATTTGCAAAAGTTAAATTTGTGTCGAATGACAATTCTAGTTCAATAAAACCATTGTATTTAGAGAAGATAGTAGAACAACCTTATGGACGTTTCATTGGAGGCAATTCTGTCGCGACATCTGTTAGAAATTCATCAAAATAGCCCGAACGCTAGCACTTCCTCGATCATTGAGTACAGAATTCTATATACATAAAAAAATTTTAATTTTTAAATTCATATGGGTAGAGTGCTAAATTTAAATTACTATTGTTTATATTCTCTAAAATGATAATAAATCGTAAATAAATGTTCAACAAGCATAATTAAACTCGTATATTCCATTTTTAAAACAAATATTCTGAATCGATTATGGGCCCATCTATTAGTAAATAGAGAAATTACGTTCGTTTCGAAGACGACAAAATTATCAAAGACATGACTTGGACACCACGGAGCTACCATCTATTGATACTGTCCATTGTCCTCCAAGATAATTTGCATTGGTATTGTTTTACTAGTTGATCTAAATACAATGATAAAACGTAGCATTTACAATTGAAAGAACTTGTTTATTGTCACTTGGAGTTTTGATCAAAAATCTACAATATTCTTTATATTTAAAAGTGTTTTTTTTTATCATTATACATATAAAGCACAACCAGGTTGTTAAAGATATATTTTTTAAGCAATCGCAAACAGCGATAGGTTTTAGGTTGTTTTTGTTTGTTTTTATGAGCTTTCCCGCTCAAATTTCGCGATCGCAGCAGAAAGGAGTATAAAAATTAAACGCTTCAAAATGATAGGGATAGCGATACCTATCCTAGAATGAAAGTGATTGATATCGGTTGGGATCGCTATGTCTCATTGAACGCTGCTTAAGTGTTTTTGATCAAATGTCTGTCGTCTTTGAAATTTAATTTATACTCATAAGTTTATAAAACAAATTTAGAGATAAAATAAAAATGAATCGGAAACCTGCTAAAAAAGATGAAAAATTTATGGAAGAATGCATGAATATGATGTTTGAAATGGAGAAAGAAAAAATGGCTACTTATGGTAAAACTGCTTTTAAGTTTTAAATCGTCCACTTCGCTTTCTAGCTGGTAAAATTTTGGTAATGATTAGAAAGTCGCTCTTCATTTTTGTAATTAAAGACTGAGTACTTGCATAAAAATATTTAAGATAATTACAAATATATCTATATACATATCTGCAAATTACATTAATGAATTAATTTCGTAGGTGGTATGAATCAAGAACAATACGAAGCTTTTATAAAGAGATCTCAAGAAACTCATGCTTTAGGAAGACCAGGTCAACCTGAAGAGGTAGCTAAAACTATCGCATTTTTGGCCAGCGATGATGCCAGTTTCATAACGGGCGCCACTGTGCCTGTGGACGGAGGTAGACACGCCATGTGTCCACGATGAGTGTTAAGAAGTCAAGTCGCCAAAATTTTTGTTTTTATGATTAAAATAATTTTTGTTAGCTTTTTAAAAGGTTTATATGAAAAATATTATCAGAAATGTTTGTTTAATAAATTATTATATTATTCTGTGTTTTACTCTAAACTTACATCTTTCGTTACAGGCAAGGGTTGGAGTTCGGCTTTTAATTCCAAGGATATTGAAGCCAAACTTTGTATGAGGATGTATTTTCTTATAAATATAAAAATAACGTAAAAAAATCCTGCCCCATCACGTAGCTAACAAAAAATTAAGTAAACTTTTTTCAATAGAACAGTTGAAATCGACGATTTTTTCAAAATTTAAAATTCTTTTGATAAAATTTTTCCAAACATTTTTATTCTTTCAAAGGTATTCAGAAATTGTTTTTAGTACATATTATTGTGTCCAAAAACTTGTAGGATCGACCTTCTAATTTAATTTTTACCCCAACATCAACTATAAAGAAACATTTTCAAGAAAAAAATTCGGCTATTTAGTTATTTAAGTTTAAAGTTATTTTTTGAGGGATGCCACCCATTTCATCATCCCCTAGGGCAGGCCTGCACAAAATACGGCCCGCTTGCGTTTGTTGTTTTCTTGGCCCTTTACCAATTTGGCCCGCCTAAGTCAAACTTCACATTCCTTTGCCTACATTCGTTCTTGGACCTCATACACCTAGTTTTTTGAACTGTCCCTTTGAAAATCTGTTGTGCAGGCCTGCCCCAGGGGATGGTTGGGGCAATATAAAAAAGTACATTAATCAGGTGTATTTTATCTCCTCTGCAAACTATGATGGTACAGGTCAAAAGGTTCAATCCATAAAGAAAAAAATGGTACTACATCTGAATTTATTGACAAAAAAAACTCATAAATAACTATAAATAAATTTATTATACAATTACTAAATTTTGTTTAGTTTTATTTAATTCCAAGTTCTGCATCTGTCCATTTAGATGGGTCTGGATATGGAAATTCTCCCTAAAATGCAAAGGGCAAAAAATTATTAGATGAACATTCATATTTTTAATAAGGTAGTGGAAATTAAGTAGGTATTTTTTAATACATGATAATCAATATTAAAGAAATGACTAATAAAAATAATTAACAAGTTAAAGAAATATCCAATAATAATCAGAATTAAAGGAACTGTCCTTACGACCATATGCACCATTCTTCTGTTAATAGTTATCAGAGAGTTAACTACATAACTGACTGTTAAATTGACAATTTTGTATTCACCATTACAAAATACGACTAACAATCTGTTAAAGGCGTTGTTAATTTTACTTATCAGACTATTTTACTTGTTTATTTTGAAGGGCTATATAAGGTTTTATAGGATATGAACAGTCATATATACGTAACAGACTGATTTCTTACTGAAACTGGTAAATAGATGGTGCATAGCAAATTCTGTTAACACACTGTTATTTTTTATACTACTGTTATATAACAGAGGACTTAGCTGGACAATGGTGCATATGGCCGTTAGACAGTTTTTCATAAACCAAATACCTGAATGTGATTACAATAAGCATAATACCACTACGTCATAACCATTGCTTCGAATTTCAAATACACAGTATCTATAACTATCAATAAATAAAGAATAAGCAAGATGGACATACAAAAAATTTTCCTACATTCCTATAATATTACACTTCACTGAACCTCCAGGCAATAGCCAATTAATGATTATTAAATAATGACGTAGCTGTGTTCTTAATGTAATTGGACCCTACTTCATAGAGTACTGTTTACGCTGGTAAGAATAAATCATTTCTATTACTAGTAATACCAAGGTATTGTCGTGCATAGCTATGGCACACCTCTTGTTTGGGTGAATGTATCTCCAAATGTGTTAAAATACCATCACCTTTTCTGAGAAGTTCTAGAGAATTAGCCATAGAAGCATGATCAATGAAAACTTACAAGTATATGGTCAGGTTCTGTCCATAAATGCCACAAAATCCACCACCATGCAAATCCTTGGACCCCCTCAGCTGCGTAAGTGATATACCAATCTGGCGCTGGAGCTCCTTTACGATAATTATTACTAAAAACGAAAAAAAAAAAAAAAAAAATTACATAATCGACTTTTAGGTTACGTATGTTTACCTGCCGTGGTTGCGTACAGTTTGAACTACTTGATTTGGTCTAATGTTTTTTAACAACCCTAGGGCTGGTAGTGCCCTAGAAATTATCATTATATTTTTTTTATTTTATCCTCTCCTCCCTTATTAATTTATTAATCTATTTTGATTTTGACATAAATAATGACAGCTGACAGTTATGGTTTTACTGAGATTCAGCGTTGCCAGCGCTAGTATGTTCGTACTAATCTACTCCCTTTTTCAAGTTTTTAGTATATTAGGGCCGATTCCACCGTTGTGTTAAACGAAGAATTACTAAAAAAGATTATAAAGACACTTTTACATTAACAATGTCATTTTAATCTTCGTTTATTAATTTAAACTTCGTTTAACAAAACGGTGGATTCGGCCCTTAAAGCACTATGACCACTGGACCTTCATATTAAACTACCTTTGCAAAATGCCTTTGAATTAAACTAGAAAAATCTTTATATAATTCACACACAATCTTCCACGGAGCCACTCATTTATTTAAAACTTGTCAATATTGTATAGAAATTTATTGTTCGCATTTAATAATACTAAAATAGTATTTTCATTGATAATTTCATTGCAAAACATAGCTTTAAAGGTACCATTTGGGAATGCGAGACCGAGGCAGGCGACAAGCGACCAGTAAGGAGGCTGAAATGTGTCTCTTACGTCTGCTGAACACATGTAATTATATGAAAAATATTTGGGAGAGCGCGACTAATGCAAGAGAGGCGACATGAAGCACTTTTAACACGGCAGTATTTGCTGCTTGGTTGCCTGTCGTATTTGTCTCGGTCTCGCCTTCCCAAATGTTACCTTAAGGCCGATTCCACCATTATGTTAAATAAAGTTTTAAATTACTAAACAAAGATCAAAATTACATTTTTACATTAACAATTGCCGCGTTTGAGAATCCACATCCGATGCATCTGAGATGTAAAAAATCTTTGATCACGTGATTCAGTATACGTAAATGTAATGGGATAGATGTGTCCGATGTGGATAAAAAAACGCTCGAGGCAAATGTCATTTTAATCTTCGCTAAAGGCCGATTCCACCGTTGTGTTAAACGAAGTTTAAAATGACATTTTTACATTAACAATGTCATTTTAATCTCCGTTTAACACAACGGTGGAATCGGCTCTTAACTGCTCTTAACGGTGTTAGTTTACACAGACAAAGGATTATGAGAAATATTGGTTACTTTTAAGTCTTTATTGGCCTTTTTATTAAAAACCAGTTTTAATTTTCAAAGTACTAAAAAGTTTTCTTGTAAATCTAGTACCTTTTCATTAACATTTTAGTACATTTTTATCAACAGTATTAGCAACACTGGTGAGCTTCATAACTAGTCAAAAGTCAAAATATTTTTTTTGACGTCTTTAATTTGACTTTGACATCTTGTGTATAAATAATTTATAATTGAAGGTTATACATTACGTGTTTATTTTTTTATAAAAAGTAGTTTGCATTATATCGAAACCATGCAATCGTTAACCATAGTTGACACTGATTAAAATATTTAGAACTAGTATAAAGCGGAATTCAATAATCTACAGTAATCACAAAACTGTTTTTATCAAGTGATCCAAAAACGAGATGACCATTATTGAGGGTATAGGCGACGAAGTTATTCATTTTTTTATAGCTTTGTTTGTTATTGTTATCGGTAAGTTTCCGTTTTAACCTTGCCACGAAATGTGTTGAGATACATAAATTACAGGTACTGTTGCTTGGTGGACTACCAACATATCTGAGCAACGATACGTTAGAACTGTAGTTCTGTTAGAAAGAAGAAGTTACCGAGCTCTCCGAAGGCTAACAAATCATACGGAAACTGTTACTATAGCAGAAGGTAATAAATACCCATATATTTTCTGTGTAAAATGTAAATAACATTTTTGCAACTTTCTTATTGCTATATAATATAAATCATGATTAGAACTGTATCCAGAACATCCAGTCTCAACTGCAAGTAATATTCTGCCAAACTACCAGAGACATATTTGTATGGGTGTTTTTAGTTCTGCTCTTCATCAGTGGTGGGGCCTGGCCTAGTCTACGAGGAGGCTGACACACCCTATATACTTAATGAAAATACATATTTCTATTAGAATACAATGTAATATTTTTGCTTTTTGTATTCTAATAGAAATATATATTTGTAGACTAGGCCATGAGTTGCCTCTGCTCTTCATTATCATTGTTTTATGAGGATTTGCTTCAATGACACATCTTTAATCGCTTATCCATATTTTATGGGAATAAGAGGTTTGTTCATGCTGTTAAATTATACCTATATTCTTTCTTCATTTTCTTGCTTATTACTTGAGTTAAAAACATTAACAATTGAAAAATAAAAACAAAATCAAGAATTTTAAAGTAAGTAAAGATAATCACTACATTGCATTTCGTTTAAATTTAAAAATCATATTAATCATGATCCTTCATCATTTTTGGACAACACAAAACATGCTCTATTTCCTAACTTACACTAAATGCATCCAAGTGTAATGTGATGTCCTTCTCTTTAAAAAAATCTCTCATACTTTCTTATTATATGCTCAATAATACTACTCAAAGGCATCAAACTTTTACTGATTTGAGAGTGATGTTTGATCAAAATGTCTCATTTGTGCCTCATATTAACAACATTGTAGCAAAAGCTAGCCATATTTATGGATTTTTAGTAAGAAATGGTAGGGATTTCAATGACAAACCTTAAAAACTGTATATTATGTGTACATCAGATCTAATCTTGAATATGTTTTGGTATAGCTTAGAATCGATTCAAGGTTTCTGAAATTACTTTCTTTAAAATGTGATGGAATGTATCCTCCCATGGGTATACCTTATGAGGATCTGCTTAAAAGACACAGCTTTCAACGCTTATCCATATGCAGGCAGTATATGTCATGTACAAGTTAGCTAATAACTTAGTGGATGACATTCAATTTGTTACAAAAATCTCATTTTATATTCCTAGGATTGCATAATGAAGCAACATTCCCTTTTATCTCTGTCAACTGCTAGATCTAATATTTTACAAAACTCACCTTTGTTTCCAATGTGTTCAGACTATAACTTAATAAGTAACCAACCTGCTTTATTCAACTTTTCTGTATTCTCAATAAAAAATGTATTCTTAAATTAATATTCCTATAGATACTATGTGATCATATATAATTTTGTATAATATACTCATATGTAATGGTAATCTGAAATGCCTCACTCTGTAATTGCTTAAAATAAAATGAAAAGCTATTTTTTTATTAAAAAATGAGGCACATTCATTTGACATGTATTTTATTTTCTTATCTGATGACACAAAGTAATTTAATTTCCTTATCTGATAGCACAAAGAAGTCATTCCCTAAATATTTTAATAAAATAATGTGTGATCTGCTATATTGAACAATTATTTAAAACAAAGATGTCATTTCAGTTTTATAAACTGTAAAAACTAATTAAAAATTGGTAGCAGCATGTTATACCGGCCATAAGTAGATAAAGTATTAAGTTTAACTTGCCAGGAATGCTCCACTTCTTCTGCAGCATTCACCAGCTCATGTTGCAAATATCATACTCATTGGACATTAGTATTATTCCTTCCTCGCTAAACAATATACTATAGCCTACAGAATTGTTAACAATTAAGATTGGAGTAACTACCTATGTATTTACTTTCACACCATTTAGCTATTCATTCACAGAGTAGTATATGCTTTATCATAAGTATACTTTTTATTGTATTCTTAAACATAGGCAATCTCGGCAATATCATTGGGTAGGTTGTTGTATGCTCCAATATATTTCAAGCACATTTCAGTTTAGAGCACCTATAGCTGGATATTTCTTGTATGGTGGATGGTGTCACTTTTACTTGTAAATGAGGCATTGTTTGTTTTTACATAAACAAGAATTTGAAATTCCCTAGATCTACTTGCATCAAATTTGTTAATCTATACAAATTACTTGTTGAATGATCTTTAGAAAACACAGGTTTGTAGTCAAAATTCAAGTTACTAAAGACACTGTATTAAACAAAACAAAAACCATGAAATTACAAATAAGACGCCTTTTAAGAGAAGAGTATAAATTAAACAGATTTTCTATCATAAAGTTAGGTTAAGATAAAGATTTTCTATCATAGAGCTCAATATTCACGGGAAAGGTCTCAAATTCAAATGAGTCTTTAACAATACCCATCACATAGGTACTCGTATTTCACGTGATCTGGTAAAACAAAAAATCTAATGCAAAAAGTGACTTGTGGCAGGTTAAATATCAGTTCCATCAAATAAATCAGTGACATTGTTTTAGGTTTACTACTGAAGTTATTGAGTGCTTTCTTTTATGTCATCTCGCGAGCAGTTCTAGAGCTGTTCTTGACTCTAACTTAACGTCCTTTTTTAACATGTTTTCCCTTATCTCCTCAAGTACTTATAGCTTGACAGCAGGTGCACTTGTTTTGTCAATTATAGACCATTATTAGTTATCCCTTTATTTAATGTTACTTCAAGTCAACTGGTGACATCAATTTAATCACATGGGATATGGGTATTGTTCAATTACAGTGTTGTTTGCAAGGCCAGCACTGCCTGAAAAGAGACGACGCTAATGTATCTGCATTTTACTTTGGTACATAGCATTTATGTGGTAGTTTTTTTATTTGTTGTTTGGTATTATTTGCTTGGCTTTGCTGTATAAAAATTATCTATAGGTATTTATAGTTATTATAGTTAAAATTCACACAATATAATGTGATTTTTACCACCACATCCTATCTTAGAAGAATTGATATCAGAAGATCTGCATGAACTACAGTTATGTCAATTTTGATAACCCACTCATTGATTATTAAGTTAGATACATGAAAATAATTTCCAGCGATTTCTCTTGACCACTTTTATATTTATTTTTTTTAGTGAAACGTCCACCATTTTTCATTTGTACATACTACAATTATCAGTTGAAGTACCTATATTTGGATGCTGTAAAAAAAGGCATGAATAACAAAAATAGTTCACAAATAAATTCATATTTAAAAAAACCGTAACAATTAAAATATTTTTTTTTACTTTACTATATGGTGTTCAGTGTACTGCCTTCATTTCATTCGCTGCCGCTGTGTTTATGGACCTACATATATAGGTTCAGAATTACCCAACAGATACATCACTGCTAGCCTCTGCTACCATTTAAAACATCAAAGGCTCCATAGATATATATGAATCTGGTCTTTTATTTTTTGCAGCTTCTAGTACTCCCCCATCGGAGGAACAAGAAGAAACTGCAGAAGCTTCTACCGAAGTACCTACGAGCTCTGAACAAGCTGCCAATGTTAAGCCTTCAGAACCCACTGTAGAGGAAAATCATATTTCGAGCCAACAGTCTGAGAATAATATATTAGAGGAAGTTGTTGGAGAGGAACAGAATATCATTGAAACCATGGATGCGGACGCAAATGTTATCAGACAGAGGAGGCTGGCTTTTTATGGAGGGTTTAATAGTGATCAGCCAGGTAAGAGAAAAAAGTAATTCAAATGTTTTTTAAAGTTAGTTTAATTATTTTATTACTGGACTTCTAGACTTTTTATTTTTCAATACATACAATGAACATTTTTTAGATCTGAGTTCTACCTCTAACACAGAAGGTCCTCAGCCAACACCAAGTGCACCTGTAGATGAAGCACTTCCAAGTGCGCCGGGTAAAGAAGAATGTCCAGATGAAAGTGTTGGAATAACAATAAAATTAAAATATATAAATGATGATTTAAAGTTAGTAGAGGGGAAGCTAAATGAACCATTGGGAGACTTCAAAAAGTTAGTAAACAATGAATAAAATTATTCTTTACTTGATACTAATTATAACATTATTAATTCTTTATTATAGGAGACATTTTCTATCTGAGCTCTCAGCTGAAAAGGTTGTAAGACTTATTTTCAATGGACAACTCCTTCAACCGGACACGCAGACTTTGAAAAACTGCGGACTGTTTGACAATTGTGTCGTGCATTGTCTTATACACCAAAAACGGAATCAGTCCACTGATCCGACCATCACAGAGAGTCGACGAGAAGGTTATTCCTTCCCGAATACCAACGGTTTAGCCAACAACAATAATCAAAATAGAGACTGGGACTTAGGAAACTTTTTGTTTGCCTTTATTAGCTTTATATTATTAGCAGCATGGTATTTTAGGTAATAATTAACTAATAAATTGTTATACAATTAAAATATGTATGAAATAATTTAAGCTACTTTTGCACATATCCTCCCTCCAGTTTTATACATTTACATCATCTTCTTTACATTCCTTCTTTTTAGAACGTTTTTGGCTGATCTCTCTCCCCTGACTTCATTCTGATTCCTCTAAAGCTTCTTTGAGAGGTCCAATGAAATCAATGAAGATTATAGAGAGGACCAAGAAGTGTTTTCAATGCAGTTTGGTCAATGTATCTTTTGAGTTACATCAATTTCAAAATTCAGGGTTTAAGTTAGAATTAAATGAATGAATAATTACCATAATATTTATAATACGTTTAGTGTTTTTTGTTTATTCACATCTACTTCATCTCCATTTGAGTTTGTTTTTTGTCAAGATTATATTTTTGACATCGAATTGAAATGAGAGGATTCTCAAACTTGTCATTTACTCTGTTTGTAACTTCATTTACTCCTTATAAATATTTTCGTTATGCAATTGTGGTTATAATTAAATACAAATGTAAATGGGCAAAGGAGATTGTTGTGCAATGACTAATCACAAACAGATGTTGATTTTAAAAGATGTCAACATAAACAAAAGTTGTTATAGCAGGGACAGAAGTTGGAAAGGCTTTTGACAGTTTTGCTGCGGAGCTAACCGAAGTGAACGAGAAACATTGGCGTAGAGTTATTATGCTAATAACAATTTCGCGTAAATAGTTTAATAAAGTGTTAATAGTTGTTAAAATTTTGTAGAATTATGATTTGGTATATTATTACTTGTTTAAATAATTATCTGTAGCCCATATATAGATACGTTCGCCCGATTCTGTCGGTAATAATTTAAAGTGTTCGGTATTATTTTAATTCTATGATTTGACAATAGTGAATAAACATTACTGCGAAATTCTCGAAGCCTCCCGACTAGCTTTGATGTTTACTACCTCTTTACCAAAAAAAAATCCTTTTCAACTTCTGTCCCTGCTTTAATACAAATTATTTTTTCAAGTTAGAATGTAGAAAAATCATTTTTAATTGATTTATTTTTGTTTTAGGTACGTGTATGCTCATTTATATACAGTGACTGCGACAGTAGGTTTGATACTAATTACTGGTATATTTACTATAGTTTTAGTAGGAATGTACTTTCCCGACAATGAACAGTTTCCTAATCCAACTTTTCACATAAGAGAGAGGACTCAACAGCAACAATAAGCAACTACCTGCCCTCGCCTTTCGACTTAAAACACATACTATATTTATTTTGTCATTTTATTTTTATATTATGTTAAATTTATTTATGAACTTGTATAAATATATAAATTAAGTTAAAATTTTATAATTTAGTTAGTTAAATAAATTATTTATTCATATCTTTTACTTATTTTTGCCGATATTTTCTTCCATATCTTTTAGAAGGACCAATGATGGAGCATATTTTAAGCTATTGCATAGCTTTTATCGCGGGCTTTGAGCGCGGCGACCGAATCAAGAAATTCCATAACGAAAATAAACCTAACACCCCCCACTACCTACATGTATTGTAAGATAATAAAAATATTTTAAACAATATTAACTTTTCATTTATTCAATAAAAGAAAATCGAAAAACCAAAAAATCTAAAAACCGAAAAAGAAATTCCGTAACGAAAATAAACCTAACACCGGCACAGCGATGCGGCGTTGAAAGCCGTGCATCGTCTAACGTCGATGATAAAAATTCCTGAATAACCTACACATGTAGATGTAAGACAATAAAAATATTTTAAACAATATTAACTTCTCATTTATTTAATAAAAAAAGAAAAAAACTTGAATTAATATTAAAGAAAAAGAATACTGCATAAATAAAATAAATAAATAATTATAATTGCATAAGTTGATAAAAAATGCTATGCAATAGCTTTACCGCAGCAGTCCCCGAGTGCCACACGTATTTTTTATTTTAAAATCCAGCTTGGCTATGAAAGTTTGACACATGTCACTGTGAAAAACACTGAACTTCGTGTTAGTAATGTAAAAATTAAGGGGTTTGCCTTGCCATAAAGTAAACTGTACATTTTGGTCATTATTTTTTCGAAACTTTCAGAAATTCAGTGGCGCCCACTTACCAATATATCTTTTTGGTTCTTGATAATTGTGTAGTTGAAATGGGAATGGGAAATAATAGACAGTGATGGAACGCAGTATATAGTGAAGAACACAATCATCTGTCATCGCGCCAAAATTCTGTGAGAGATTTTAGGGGAGAATGAAATATTTTATTTGCTGCGTTTGAAAAGTACATTGTTAAGCTGCCTATTATTTACGGATTCACCTTCAGGATCCTGCCAATATACGGATTGTATAGATACAAAAAAGGGAAATAACTATTTGAGAATGTTACGATTACATTTTTTTGTAGGGCTCTTGACGAGGAACTTTCAATATGGGATAAGATTGTTTTGATCTAAATTTATTTTATTGTGTTTATTTCATTTAATTTCTATAATGTCTATATATGTGTTGATTTGTTTATTATAACAGCATATTGAGTTAAAACAGCTAAAACTAAGCCTAGTTTCGTGAAATAATAAATTAAGCAGACAATTTCTATTTCTAGTAGGTCGTCTGTCTAAAATTACACGGCTCAGACAGGAAAAGCGCGTCCAAAAAATGTATGGAATCTGAAACGGAATTTTAAAAACCCTGTCCTGGAATTTTTTTCTATTGAGATTTTAGTGAGAAAGATGCATATAGTTTGTTTTGATAAATCGAGCTGTCAATTGTCACCTTAAATAAATCGAAGAATAATTAATGATACATTTTATTTACTCAAAGCTCCTGCCTGGCTCCTGCATTATAACTAGAGTAAATAAATATAATTTGCTTTTATTTGAATACTAAATCTCCTACCTACCTTCCACTACAATAAAAAAAGATCTTTTCTGAAAATAACAATCGATTTTTATAGCTAGAAAAATGTTTGAATCGAATGATTTATTCAATCGTAACATTACGATTTGTGAACAAATCACAAATCTAGCAAACAAAACAGAAGGTTTGTTCTGGTTCTCAAAATGAAAACTGTTATGAAACTGCGCCGGACCGTATGCGTAAAGGCAAAAAATCCCCGACTGTTTAAAATTGTTGGAAAACCAGAACACATAAAGGTGTTTTGTTTATTATAATAATGAATAATGAAGTTCCTTTTGAAAGCTCAGCTTCAAATAACATTTACATGTATATGTTTATCATTATCATCACATTTCAATGGAATAAATAAAAACAGAATAATATAAAAAAATTAATAATTCCAAAATTGCTTTAATTTACAAATAAAACAAGAACAATAGACATTCGTTCACATATAAAATAAACAATTTGGGATTGTATACGTTCCGTATGGTCTAAAAAGCCAATACAATATTCATAACACTTCAAAAACGCATGCGCGGTCAAAACAGTCCGAGTCGATCCACACTCCCAAGCATGAACACATTTTGACTATTTACAACAATCACGGATTATTTCGGATACGAAACCAGAACACTGGACTGAGAAATCCGAAGTAGTCCCAGAAAAACCAGAACACTTTTTATCTACTGCGCATGAGCCCGACAGTTGTGGATCGTTATTTCTCAAAACCAGAACAGACCTAGAAACAGAAAACGGGTTGATTTGATTCAGTGTTGCCAGTCCTAGTACAATTGTTAGATTTAGTACATTCTCTAAGAATCTGGTACTCTAGTACAGTCAAAGTAAAATCTAGTACTGATTATTTTTCAAAGTGTTACCATTTTTCGCGTGTAAAATATATTGTTGGGATCTTCAATCTTCATCGTTTGTTTTGTTTTCGTTCGCAACCAAAACACATCACAATTTGAAAATCTGGTATATTTTATTGAATCTGGTACATTTTCAAACAATCTGATACATTTTTTAGACAAATCTGGTACATAACAAAAACTTATTCTGGCAACACTGATTTGATCTCAAGTGAAAATAGTGAAAACTACTACTGTGTGTATAAAATTAAAAAAGGTGTATAATGTGATTTTAAAGTGGAATAAAAATATTGCTTTTCTACAATTTATTGAGATAATTTTTATATAATTTTATAACAGTTTATTTATGGAAGATATGAACTACAGATATAAGTGAAAATGGCGTTGAAAAATTCTGTTTATTTTTTAAGTTCCTGACCTGGCCCAAGTTGATATCCATGTTTTATTACAACAAAAATAACACGCATATTTTTGTTTAAATTTAGTTATTTTCAAAGAGACCGCTTGTTTCCGAAATGGTGTGTTTGGCTAAACACTGGTTTCAGTTAATTTTACCTTATTGGGTTTTCCTAATTTTGCCAAAAGGTAAACATTGGTGTGGAACTCATCACTTGAATTTGCTTAATATTTTACATTTTTAGGTTTTCTGCTTGTAGAAACTACTATAATAACTAATGCATCAGCGATGCATTGTGATTATTATAATAGTACTTGTAAAGATAAAGATGGATGTGTGGATGATGTAGAAATTTGCCATGTAGATGATCACAAATACCATTGTTTTGTATTATGGTCCTTAGGAGCAAATGGAACTGTTAACGTTTCAATGAAGGTAAAAGCTGGTATTACTATTTTTTTTTCGTACAATCAATATTTTAAGATTTATATGGCTTTAAGTGCTTAAAAATGAACTTTGGCGCCTAACGTGTTAAAAACATTTGGAGGCCAGAAAATTACAAACATCTGTACCTACTGAACTATTTCATTTGCAAATATATACATTAGCTTTTAGCTTGTAGTTTAATGTCCTACTACCTAATAGACAAGATTAAAGATTATCGAAAATTGTAGAAAATCACACCTGCCAAATTGCCACTTTATGCTCTAGTACACTAAGTATAGAAAATAGTTGTTTGTTATTATTGTCTATATACTAAACACTAAAGTTAAACAGGAAATTCTGAAAATCAATAGGGTTTTAAGTTAGAAGCAGTTATCAAAGTGGAGGACACTGAAATGTAGTAGAAGCACTAAAACAACAGAAAAGCCCCTGGACCAGTTGAATTCTCCTCTGTCCTACCTAAGAACTGTGCTGAGGAATTTTGCGAACTACTTGCCTGAGTTATGAAAGAATCCCTAACTGAATCCAAGATCCCTCAAAAATGGAAATAAACAACTTATACCTATATACAAGAAGGGGGACAAGCTAGATGCTGTCAACTACCATCCAATCAGCTCAACATGTTACCTGTAAAGCCACGAAGAGGATTATAACATGGGAAATAACAAATATTTTAAAAATCTACACAAGGAAATATTCCAAAACCCTCATGGAATCCTGTCGAAATAGGTCTGTAAGCTCGAATCTTCTCCAAAACCTAGATACCTGGACCAAAGACTTGAAGGGTATCCAGTAGATGTAATTTACCTAGACATTGAAAAAGCATTCAACACTGTACCCATCTGAAGGATTATTTACAAATTAGAACATTATGGAGTTAGAGGAGGTCTACTAAAGTGGATTGAGAACTACCTCACTAGTAAAAAAGGTGAGAGTAAATGGAAGTCAATAAAGCAACCCCCCAAGATTAGTGGAGTTCCCCAAGAGTCAGTCATCGGGCCCCTACTCTTTATAATGTACATGTCAGATCTCTCCCAAAATATGATGTGCAGTTAGTTTGGAGGATCTAGATACTTTGGAAAGGTTGATGCTTAATTGCCTAGAAATGCAGTATACTCCACCTAGGTTTAACTAACCCCTGCCTTGAATACAATCAACACAATAAGCAACTAGCAGCTGCAGACAAACAGAATGACTTTTTATTTGCATTTTATATTTGACAATCACTTAGTTATAACTCATAAAAACAGAATACAGTATGTTTACGTAGGAATCCTGAAAAATAAAGATGAGACTCTTAATTATATTTGGAAGTGAGAATAAATAAGAATAAAAAATTGTTTAACTATGCCCTTTCGATGACAAGGAGGGGATATTGCTGCCTACAGTCAGTGATCATAGCATAACACAAATTTCAGCACTCCACAAACTGTTTAGGGGATGTCACTTGTTGTTTAACATTTAGAAAGTTAAGGAGTTATCAGTAATATCTTTATAAATAAAATGCTCAAGTTTTTGCTAGAAAATACCTAAAAATAAATGACTATCAATTAATTCAAAAATTCATATAAGTACCTTCAAAAAATAAAACGAATTCTAAAATAACATGAAACAATTCCTAAATGTTCACAACTCACCTCAAGTACTCTTTGGGAAATGAGAGAATTTATTATATAGTCAGTCTGAGACTTGCCTGTCCACCTGCATGATTGGGTGGTAGTGGGATAGTAGGTATAGCTCTATTTTTCTCTATACCATTTTCCTGGATTCAGGATTCTAAAGTTAAGTACTGTATATTAACATTGTAACATTATCTAATAGTGGCAAATACAAATTAATTTTCAGTCATTTCACAAAATACACTTAAATGCATCTAGACTTACAGTAACATATTGTTTGTCTCTGAATTGAAATATATGTAATTTTGTTATATTTTTTATGTTCATAAATATATGTAATTTTGTTATATTTTTTATGTTCATGAGTAGCTTATTATAATTTTTTTTAGCAAGTGTGATTACAAAATGTTGGCTGGCATCAAGCTGACATGCTGGTGTCATTAAATTGTTATTTGATTTAGCTCTTATGTTGTGAGAATGTGTAGCAGTAAGTAGTTCTTAAATGAGGCATTCTATATATTAAAAATACAACAAAAGTACAGTGTTCTAATGTTTAGCATTTCATCATTGTAAAGGAGATCTGTTGGATAAAGTACAAAAAAATGTTTCTAAAGGTTTTGCAAAAATGTATGCATGCCGGAGCATACATTTCTTCTTTTAAGTGTCAATGTAGATTTAATTCAGAGCCTTGTTTAGTTATCAGGGACTGCACTCGTATCTATGCCTTTGTCAGTCATGGGCTGATTTAGAAACATTTTTTTTTATTTACGGACAAGCCCATTTCAATTAAAATTAAAAATTAAATAAAATATCACAAATTCTTATGGTGCTGTAGCACAAACAAAGACATTATACATGTAATACAGACTAAGAACATTTAAAATAACAAAATAGGTTAGTCGGAAGGTTCAGAAAGAGAAAATACACCATAAACCATTAGCATTAAAGCTCAGTATTAAGTAATTGAGTTTTGAATGATGAAAGGGAAATATTGAACCTCTTGAGATCATTGTGCAAGTTAACTAATTTAAGCATTCTTTGAAAGCTTGGTTTGATCTATAAAAAGGTACATAAAATGTTTGCTGTTGCATAGTTAAACGAGTTTGAACAAAAATTTTTATTTTTTCAAGAAGTTCAGGACAATTACCTCTACTATTTATAATATTAAATAGCAAAGTAAGGTCTCGGTTTTCGCCTAGTTTTCAAGGAAACTGTTCCATGAAATCATATTCATAATAAACACCTAATTTAAAAGCTATGTATTTGAGAAAGTTGTGCTGAACAATGTCTATTTTCCTACTATATGTTAGTGTGGAGAGCAAACGGAAGAGCAACAGTTAAGATGGGGTCTGACTAGCGAACAATAAAGAACTTTAATTGCAATTGTGTCAGTAAAATCATGTGTCAACCTTTTGATAAAAGCCAACATTTTCATGGATTTATGGACAGCATCAGATATAATATGTTGATTAAAGTTTAAAATGGGATCAAGAATAATTCCAAGGTCTTTAATTTGATAAACAGGGTCTATGTCCATTTAAGTTATAATCAAATGTAATTGGGGGTAGGTGAGAACGATAAAAACGCATTATAAGTCCATGCCATTTAAAGAACACCATTCTAAGGTGTTAATATTTGGTAATAAACTAAATAGAGAAAATATCAAAGCTAACATGACCATTAAAATTAATGATGACATAATACCCTTTGTTTCGTCTGCAAAAAATTTAGGGATTTATTTCGATGAGGAATTCAGGTTTCATCCACATATACAACATGTACTACAACAGTGTTATTTACGGTTACGATTACTTTTCGCTAGTAAACATATCCTAACTAAAAATATGAAAATTAACCTAAGTGAAAGCTTAATAATATCTAAATTATTATATGGGCTTATTGTTTATTATCCTTGCCTTACAAGTGAAAACAAACGGCGTTTACAAATAATTCAGAATACATGTTGCCGCCTAATTTATAATTTGAGGAAATATGATCATATATCCGTCCCGTTTACTAGTTTAAAATGGCTTAATGTTCAACACTTATTTGACTACAGTATTTTAACATTTGTACAGAAAATAATTATATCCTCAAAACCAGTATATTTAATAGATAAACTAATACCCAGAGCAACTATGCATCAGCATGCTATTAGGGATCAATCACAACTTAATATGCCACAATTTCGCTTGACTACATACACCAGATCTTTTTCATATAATGCGATTAAACTATATAACGGCCTAGATCTTAACATAAAAAATATCAAATCAACAAGTATTTTTAAACAAAATGTCAAAAGTTTGCTCTTATCCCAGCAGTAAAATGTGAAGATCTAGTTTGCCTTATAGGAATTATTATTTTGTATGTAATGTAAATAATATATAATGTAAATATAAAATTTAAATGTAATTACTAGTGTAAAAGTTCGATATAATTAAGTTTATTGCTTAAGATTATGTATAAAGTTGTTTGGGTCAAATATTATTATTATTTTATATTTAACATTCCTTAATATTTTGTATAAAGTTGTTTGCGTCAAATATTATTATTATTATAGTTATTCTTTAATTAACATATCAATACTTTAGATTTAGGTTTAGGGTTAGGTGTAAGAATAGCCAAGCTAAATCTCGCCCTATGTACTTTTGTGCAATAAAGACGTTTATTATTATTATTATTATTATTATTCTGATAAATTATTGAGGTCAGACTAAAGTCTATGGGCATCATTATGGGTTTTAACAATTTTGAATTTTTTTAAGTCATCTGCAAATAATAAAGCTTTGCTGTTAAGGAAACAGTAAATTATACCATTAATAAATTAGTTAAATAGTAAGGGTCCTAGATGTGACCCCTGAGGAACACCTGAGGTTACTTGAAATAAGTTGAAATAGTGGTGATTAGCTCTAACCATTTTAATTCTATTAGTAAGATAGCTACCAATCCATTGCAGTAATACCCCCAACCAGACCATATTTGTTAAGATTTTGTAGTAAGAGAGTATGGTTAACTCTCTCAAAAGCCTTGGAAAAGTCAGTATAGACAGAATCGATATAAGTGACTAAATTTAACTGTTTCCAGCACAAAAACCATATTGTTTTTCAGTTATGATACCGGAGCAGTCGTAAGTAGTATAGTAATCAATTATAATGTTTTCAAACAATTTAGGCATTGTGCTGAGAATTTAGATGGGTCGATAATTTTTGTGGTCAGATTTGCTACCTGATCTGTATATTGGGATGACATAAGAAAGTTTTAAATAATCGGGTTAAACTCTCCTATGTCGATTGAGTTATTGAAAATATGAAAGAGAGGGCGTCATTATGAAGCTGCCATTCTTTAATAGGATGGGAGGAATAATGCCAGGATCTGTCCCTTTTCTTGTATCTTGTATGAGGAAAAATTAACTTTAGAATCAATTTGGTCATCTTTAAAATTTAGGATATGTGTGGTGTACACTGAAGAAAAATGCCTTGAAAACAGATTTGCTACTTCATTACTGCAACATGCAGTCCTTTCGATCAGCTGTTGCAATTCTTGCAATTATAAATAATTGTGATGGACTGAAAATGTATAACAGCAAGCATATTGCGCAAAAAATGGCTGAAACAAGCGATGTCAATTTGTTCCAAAATACCTAGATTGCCTAGAGTATACATTTTTAACATTTTACATGTTTTGTGTTACCTTTCATAAATCTACTCTTTGGAATATGAAATAATTATCAACGTTGTATGTCTTATTTATTTATTAAATGACGCATTTTTCTTAATTTGCTTGGTATTTTGATAAACCTGTTTCCTTAACTAAGCTGGTGTATGTCCCTGTTCAGTGAAATAAGTTGGTAAACCATTTGCAGGGAGTTGAGAAGTGTAATATAGAGAGAAATTATCTGGCGTTCATTAGGAATTACTGCAAAGTTTACTTGCTGCAATCTGCAAGGCAAATTGAGAATTGTAAAGAGGATCTAACAAATGATCCAAGAAAAAAAGATGACGTATTCAATGGATTTATGTTGCTATGAGGCAGGAAAAAACGGCCAAGACCTTTATTCACTCTCTCGTCAAAAATCGTGTGTAAGACTACTGTATCAATAGCTACCTATGGCTGAAATGATGCCTGAAAACCATATTCATGTTGACTCTGCTATTCTCGCTACATTTTGTCCATTGGTGCTAAGTCAAAAAATTAACTTTGACCTACTATTTAGTTCAAGTAAACTTTATATTTGTTTTTTCAGGCCATTTAGGGTCATATTTCATTTTTAATCCCTGCTCACCTGAGCGTATTCTTAAACGAAAATCGAAGTTCGAATATACTGCAGGAAATTAGGGATAGATTTGTTACTGTCCATCTCTAAACTAAAGAACCACCTGGAACTCCTTTAATTATATACCAACTTTGATTTTCTTAGCAAAACATCTCCAGTCAAAGGTCCATATTTATAAACTGAGGCTGACTCAGATGAGTTGTCCTTGAACAAATATCGAAGTTCTGTTATGTGGTGGAAATTAAGAGATGGACAGTAACAAATCCGTAAATGTATTTCTACTGTTCATCTCCATTCCTGTCAAACATTGTTAACATTTTACTGGTTAAAGAGAAGAGCAAAACTATTTCTATCAGAGAATTTGAATTCTGCCATTTGGCAAACTATTTGTATTTATATATTTTCTTGTATTAGTTTGGCAAATAAAAGTATATATTATTATTAATATTATCATAAATTTTAATGCAATCAAAATAAATACCAAATAGAAATGTCTGTGCATTACAAACAAAAGTTAATTTTTAAAGTTATCCTTCTTTTTACCAATAATCACTTATCACTTTGTTATTGAAATTATTCAAATTGTTGGATCATAAATGAATATATAATGGTGGAATTATACCAAGTCTCTTAATGAACAAAATACATTTTCATATTACTTCAATAATTATATGATACATTTTGTGCAAAATTAATGAATATTTGAACATCAAGTGAAATTTCATATTCTTCATTTGCATTCATTATGATCTAATTGCTGTTTTGTACATTAGCGTCTACTGTTTTATCCTACCGCAATTTGCTATATTATAATCGTACGAATATGTTATGTGAATTATTTTTCATCATTTTTATTTTATATTTTTCTTAATTTTTATGTTAGCACTATTTTATTGTATTTTATTATATCTTATTGTATTTAAACCGAATTGGACTTTTCCCATAAATAAATTAAAAAAATAAAATACTGCACGCAATTTTTCGTATCATTTTCTTTTAACGTTTTAACACTAATCCTACGAAAAATCTATTGCATAAAAATTTCAGATCATCTGATTCTCTACAATTTTCGTTATTAGTTAATCTCAAATCTCAATAATGGTACTGGCTTTTATAGCTGCGATAGTGAGGTAAGATAAGTGAGTAAAGATAACGTTTATTTTGAATTCCAACATGTGAGATGAAATTTTTAAACACATCATGCCATTTACGTACCTTGACAGGGAATGATAATTAATTAGGCATATACAAGAGTTCGGAAGCTTACGTATGTACCTAGACGTGAACATGCAGGATATTTGAATACGCATGCGAAGCTGTCAATTTTCGCGTTTACGTTCATAGCATCACTTCAACTTTCTATTGATGAATTCTAATTCTTAAAGTGGCACCGGTAAACAGGCACAAAGCCTGCTCAAAACACGAGATTAATAACCTAAGTTCTTCCATTCTTTTGTTTTAGGGTTGCTTTTTGAATGGAAATTGTGCTGAACAGACTAAATGTGTAGAAACTTCACCTGTGCCAAAAAATAATCTACTTTTTTGTTGTTGTTATGGGAATATGTGTAATAAAGAATTTTCATGGGATCCTAAACCCACAGAAGCAGCACCTCCAAGCAGTAAGTCTTATTTAGTTCACCTAAAAACTATTAATGCAAAAAAATGGCGACTCTGTGATTCTACATATTACATATTTTGTTAGAAACTTATTTTAATTGTAAAATGGGATATTTTAAAACTAAAATTCAATTATTTTTTAGCAGCTGCCCCTGTTCTTGAGGGATCCGACTATAAGATGTACTACAGCATTCTAATCGGCATTATTTCTGTTTTAATTATTGCCTTAATTGGGGTCTGTTATTGGAAGAAGAAAAATAAACACTATTTCAATGGGGTATGTAAACATAATTCATATATTAATAAATACATGTGTGGTTTTAGATTTTTATAAAAACTTGAAACATAAATTTTTTTATTCTTTTTTTCATGCTGCATTTCTGTAGTGGGGTGTAAGTGGATATTACCTTTTTAAGGTAGATACTAATTTTTTAAATCTATAATAAATGAGGATCAAAAATTATTAATTATGTACACAGGGTGTTATTGAATTACAAGTAGATTAAAAACATAATATTTAGTCTCTCCTAGAAAATGCAAAAATATTATTTCGAAAATATACTAGTAATTAAAGACGTAATTAAATGTTGTAAACACGGATATTCTTAATAAGCGATGGAAGCTCTAAGTTAATTAACAGTATAATTAACCTAATGAAAAATGTTTATCAAAAAAAAAAAAATGAAAGCCTCTTGGGAATAAATACAAAATAAAATAAATAATTCCGCAATTTTAAATAATTTTCGGAACACGAAAGCCTCTTGGGAATAAATACAAAAATAAAATAATTCCGCAATTTTAAATAATTTTCGGAACACGTATACTAATATGGTTGCACTCATAGGTTTCCTTTTAAAAGTGAATTAACTATTGTTATCCTAAAGTCGATTTATTTCGGTCGGCATTTCCAACAATAGACAATAATTCTCGCAATAAATTAAAGAAAAAACGGCGCTAGCTGAACTATGATATCCCAGGTAATATGGTCGAATTTTCGGAAAAAATAAGCTTGGTTACTATTTAACTATTTTAATTGACGGAGGATTATTTTCAAAGGGATGCGGTTTAATACAGTTAATCGAGTGACGGGCAAAGAAGCAACGTTATCTCGTGGCCGACGGCTGAGTAGTGACGGGTCTATTGACTCGGGGCACCTTGAATGTAGATAAATTAAGTTGGTGAAACAGGTCTGTGCGATCACTAGCCTTGCTTCGTTTACGGAACTTCAGAAATCCCAAAACGGTATTCCGTACAAAGTTGGGAAATTAATTTCAATGGGTTACGAAACTTCGGCTTTAAGAAATTCCATAGTTGAAACCAGCGCTTGTACGATCACTCTTATGAAACTTCAGAAATCCTAAAATGGTACCTACTTAATTCGAAACTAGTAAAGACTAATTTTCCCGGGCTATAAAAAATGATTTCCTTGCTAATATTTAACACAGCGACGGTCGATCGGGAGAACAACAAAATAAATTTTATTAGAAAAGTTAATAATGAAGGATTCCTACCTTATATTTTCCAGTTTTCACAGACGGTGAAGTATTAACGGTAACGGCTTAAACTTAAGTAAATTCGGAAGTTCGGCACTGGATGAGAAAGATTTCGCGGGGATTTCAGCTTTATAATTTACGCTCGGACTAGATCGGTTTACGAGTGGTTTGGAGTGGAAATAGCCAGTGTTTGCAAATCGGAGGACTGGAAAAAAGCTCCTTTTGACATTTGCGAAAATGACCAGATAATTTACTTGAATTTGAACGCTAATAGGTTGAACTAAATATTTTTATAATTAAACTATAGGAAAATTTAGTGACTTCATCGCTTGTAATTTGTTTGATCGATATAAAATTTTTAACCTGGTCCTGTCCAAGCTGGCAACATCATTTACAGGTGTTCCTGACCCAGCCGGCAAAGGGCATAACTGACTAGCAAGTAAAATTGTTATTTGAAATCGTATCAATAGATGTCAAGCGCGATTGCTTCCAATAACCTTTGCATTGCGATTATCCTACTATACTTCTTCATACAACGAATATATTTTCTAAACTGCTCATTTAAAAAATGATTAAATTAATTAAACTATTTTCAAATATAAAAAAGTTACAAACCATCAACAAAATTAAAAGTGGTCCGTTGTTGACAGTGAAATGTGCATTTTAAATGGAATTGGTCAATTCATACTGCGTCTGCGCATAATAGTTTTTGTCAGTAGTTCACCTGTTGTTTTGTGACATTGGTTTTGTTTTTAGTTCATATTTTAAAGATATGTTTTTTCCAATATAATTTATTATCATTGAACAGGCAGGTAGGGATTTAGGGTATGCTGCCCTACTACGACAAGAGGTTGATTGTACAAAATAAAAATTTCTAGGTAGTGCACATAGACTTCGTAAAGTAAGATTGGGTGTAGTGACCAACATTTATATATAATTTGAAATTTTTTCTAATGCAAATATGTCTTGCTTTGTTGTGTCCTAATAAAATAAGCTTACCAAATGTGTAAAAATCTCGAAATCAAAATTTTTGCTATGGCCTCTTGTCTTAGCAGGGCAGTATGGGGATGCTAGAGAAAATGCTCGGCAAGCACAGATTCTGTACAGCTTCCTGAATGTCGTATGGGCACTGAAGTAATTAATAATAAACCATGTGGACGGGCAAATCCGACTATTTCTAGAGTACAGGGTTCTTAGTAGTGCAACCTCCCTCCCCATACCCCTTCGATTTTTGTTTAAATCTGAAATAGATGCCCCTCTTGAGCTGACGAACAGTGTCGAGTCACCAGTTGGATAGCTAACTGTTAAATTTCACCATCCAGGTTTGCGTAGATTTGTGTGCATAATTAACCCATGACGATACGTCCCTGTACAGTTAAAGTAATATTTTCTATTAAAATAACCCAAATTCAACGATCGAAAAACATGTCTAATGTCACTATCTTTCGGGGTGAGTGCCCGAAGACCATCTAGTTCATTGGGTTACATAATATTTTGAAGCAAATGTCCTTCCTTATTTAAACGAAACTCAGGTGATTTCTCAAAAAAAGTTACATTAATCTTTTCGGTAGGTTACATTACAAAGACGAGCAGTAATATTTCTTAATAATAATGGACCATTTAGAACAATTATTGCAATGTAGTGTTATTGGTATTAAGGACGCATATATATTATTATAAATATACTAGTGAGCATGTTTTTTTCAAAAATAATTTATTATAGATTTATAAATTTTCAAAAAGGGGAAATTGACCCATTTTAAAATTTGATACTAAAATTGGTGCCATTCGTTTTTGGACATCATACACACCTGTCATTTTTAAAGTACACATGGTTTTCAATAACGCCCTACATTTTGAAATATAAATTATTATTAGATGGTATTTGAAAAAACTTTTTACACTTAATAATACGTTTTATGATTAAAGACAAAAGGAGCTAGATTTTTAAAATTTACTTTTATTAGCTACCTACTTCTGAGCCGCATCCTTTGCCACCTTCCACGCCAATTATGGACAATAGACCAATAACGTTGATAGAAATTAAAGCAAGAGGCCGTTTCGGGGCCGTCTGGAAGGCTCAGTTCAAGGGAGAAGACGTTGCGGTGAAGATATTTCCTATTCAGGTATATAAATAATGTATATAAAATTTTTATTATTGTTGGTTTATTTATTTATTTATTAAAAAGAAATTAAAAAAATTGTTGTTTTAGGACAAACAATCTTGGATAACGGAACAAAACATTTTTAAGTTGCCTCACATGGCTCATCCCAACATTCTGCAATACATTGGTGTCGAGAAAAGAGGCGACAATTTACAGGCGGCGTTTTGGCTGATTACCGCATACCATGAACAAGGCTCGTTGTGCGATTTTCTCAAGGCCCACACTCTTACCTGGAATGAACTTTGTAGAGTTGCAGAAACAATGTCCAAAGGTAAGAATTTTTTATATAAAAAAAACATCAAACTCTTTTAAACTAATAAAATAATTATTGATATTTAAGATTTTGTAGTTGCTGAGGAAGTAATAAAAATATTCATATACAAAGTTAGACAAATTAGTTTTCTCTTAGGACTAGTCGAACAGAGACATTGTTAGTCTTTTTGAAAATGTTTTATATGTCTGTTTACCTTATCTTTACTTTTGTACATAATTTTTTATTGGAAAATGTAAGTTTTCTAATTATTTACTCTGTTTCTTATGTTATTTTCAAAATATAAGATCCAAAAAAATTGGATAAAGTATTCATACTAGTCAAATAGTAGCTTGTGCAACAAGAGTGTATGGCAAAATTGCACGGAGACGAAGTTTGAGCACGACGCCGCCTTTTATCTGAGTGGGATACAAGCAAACCACTCCAATTGTAATTGTATAGTATATTTTTACGAATCACTAAAAATCGACAACGTTTTAAAAACTAATTTAGCGTATATCTAGTAGTATATCTAAGAAAATATGAGTGTTGTACATCTATTAACTTTAATTTTATTATTTGATATTTTCAATAGGAATACTTTAGGTATTTGAAAAATAAAAATATGCAAAACACAGGCTTGGAGGCTTTTCAATGGATAGGGTAGATAATGAAATAATATTTCAATTAATACTGTCAAAACTCATAAATCAATTTGGAACCAATTCATGTTGTTTTACCAAGAAAAATGTACGAGTTTGATGCAAATGCATCTGTAGATTAAATTATTTTAATATTAAGGTACCATTTGGGAACGCGCGACAAGCGACCAGAAACCGAGATAGAAGTAAGGCGGCAAATATTGTCATACTAATCTGCTGTCGTCGGTCACCTATACCGAAATGTGTTTCATATAATTACATGTATTCAGACGTGAAGAGACCGTTTTTGGCCTCTCTCGCTGACGCGTCGCGTTTTGAAGTCGGTCTGGTCTCGGCTTGCGAAGTGGTAGTTTTAAAAGACTTAAAATTTTAAAAATAATTTTTTCTCATATAGTTTAATCGATTAAACTAGATGCACTTAGGATACCCTTAAAAAATATCCTGCGCCTATGATATAATCTCCTTGAAATCCAGTAACTAAAGATTTTGAGGTTATTAGAGTTACTGAGACGTGGTTGAGGAGAGACATCAGCAGTGATATTGTAAGGTTAGGTGATTATTCCTTAGTTCGAAAAGACCGTGATTCAAAACGTGGTGGAGGTGTAGGTATGTACATTAAAAACAAATTAAATTATAAAATCTTACTAAGCGAATGCTTTGAATTTATGGAATATTTATGGATAGAAATTACTTTTTGTGGTCATCAGTTAGCTATTGGAACTTTCTACAGACCACCTAAAACAGATAAAAATGCCTTTTTTCAAATTTTTGAGGATCTTTTGTGTGATATGTATGCAAAATATGACCACATCATATGTGTAGGCGACTTTAATTTCGATTTTTTAGACATTGAATTGCCAGAATGTAATCGTTTAAGTACAATTTTTGACATTTTTAACTGCCATCAACTTGTAGGTGGTCCTACCTGTTTTTCACCCACCCGAAGCTCACTTCTCGATTTGTTTATAACTAATTATGAATTGAAAAAATGCCACATAAAAGTAACTCAAACTCATTTTACGAATCATTCACTAATATCATGCAAACTTGATTTTGCAAAAACGAAAATATCAAATCATAATAAAATATCCTATAGGGATATAAAATCTATAAATTTAGAACATCTGCAGGAGAATATAAATTTATTGTCATGGGATAATATATTTACCACTAATGACATCGATAAAAAAGTTGAGATACTAAATAAAAATATTTTGGAATTACTTGATATTCATGCTCCTGTCAAAACTATTCGCATAGGTAAAAAACCATATGCGCCATGGATTACTGAAAACATAAAATTCATGCAAAATCTAAGAGACAAAGCATTAAGAAAATTCAAAACGTATAGTACTCCAGCTAATTGGTCTTATTACAAACAACTTAGAAACTTTACAACTAATGCAATAAAAAATGAAAAAAAAGCATATCTCCGAAATAAATTTGCAAATTCAAATACTAAACAAACTTGGAATGAATTAAAAAAATTAAATATTACAAAAAATAAAAATAACGATATTCCTACTCATTTAAATAATGTTGAAATTATTAACAATTATTTTACTAGCATCGAAAATAAACAACCGAATTATGACATAATTAGTTACTACAATTCTCAAATAAAAAATAATATAAATGATCCTCTTGCATTCATGCTTGTTACAGTAGAAATTGTATCAAATATAATTTTAAATATTAAATCTAAAGCTTATGGTACCGATAATATGAATATCGATATATTGTTACTTTTCTCTCCTTTTATAATTCCTTATATTACAAATATTATAAATCAGTCAATTTTGTCCTCTTATTTTCCCTTGGAGTGGAAACCTACTGATCTAAATCATTTAAGGTCTCTTAGTATTCTGCCCGTCTTATCGAAAGTATTGGAGAAGATTTTAGATAGGCAAATAAGAGAACATCTAAATAAATTTAATTTATTACCTATAAAACAATCTGGGTTTCGCAGTGGACATAGTTGTGCCACTGCCCTTGCTGACGTAGTTGATGATTTAATTCAAGCTGAAGATAACAATAAAATAAGTGTACTAGTTTTACTAGATTATTCGAAAGCCTTTGATATGTTAAATCATCAAATACTGCTGTCAATCACTCATTATTTGGGATTTTCTAATGCAGCTACTAACTTAATAAAATCTTTTTTAAGCGATAGATATCAAAGAGTACAAATAGGCAAAAACAAATCTCAAAAAATTAAATTAAAACTAGGAGTTCCTCAAGGCAGTATTCTTGGTCCACTATTATACACTATTTATACTAGTAACTTTCAATACTCTCTAAAATATTGTAACTATCACTTTTATGCTGATGATACGCAAATATACTTTTCTTTTAAATATGAAAATTTAGTAGAATCTTCTAATTTAATTAATAGTGATTTAAAGAATTTAGAAAAAACCTCGTCCAATCACCTTCTAAAATTAAATCCACTTAAATCGTCTGCCCTACTATTCTGTAAGGAATCTGTAAGAATTGCAGTACAAAACCAGATGCAACTAAAAACAGAATCTGAAATCATTCCTTTTAATAGCAATGGAAAAAGTTTGGGACTAGTTGTTGATAATAAGTTAAGATTTAAAGACCATATCATATCTAAACTAAAACTGTCATATTGTGCACTAAAAGCAATTTATCCCCAAAGACAATTTTTGGATGTTAACATAAAAAAAAAATTATGCGACTCACTTATACTATCGCTGTTTGATCATTGTGATACAATGTATGGTTCATGTCTAGACGCTGCTGACAAAGCCCGTATTCAAAAAATACAAAATTCTTGCATTAGATTAATTTACGGCATTAGACGTAGGCATAGAGTAACGTATAAACTTAAAAATTTGAAATGGCTTAATATGCATAATCGCCGAAAAATGCATTTTGCTTCTTTTATATTTAAAATTATAAAGTTCAAAACTCCAGCATATTTACATAAAAAGATTAAATATCGTACTGATGTCCACAATGTAAATATACGACGAAATCAAATGCTTACCATACCTTCCCATCGTAAAGAAATATTTAAACGAACATTTTCATACAACGTGGCAAAATCTGCAAATAATCTAATGGAAAATAATCTTTTTAATATCACACTTTCTCCAAATAGCTTCAAAATGAACTACAAAAATCACCTACTTACTTTATGATGCTAACTCTTATTGTTGTATTGTCCTTATCAACTTTTTCTTTATTATTTAGGTTATCACAAATACATTTATTGTTATTTTGATCTTTTATTATCTGTTTTTACCTTAATTTTAGCGTGTTTAGTATTAGTCTCTTAAATAAGATTTTTTTTTCATTTATTGTTAATTCAATGTTTGTTATTAGTTAAGAATAATCGGGCTTTAGCGGAAGAACAGACATTTTAGTTCAAAAGACTTAAATGCACTGATCTAAATGCCATTTACTCAATGTTTCGTGTATAATTTATTTGTTATGTTTACATAATACTATTGAGTAATAAACGTATTTATTATTATTATTAAAGCCCTAAATAGGTAACCAGTTATTGTAATGCATTAACGTTAAATCGTCTTTTAAAAAAGGAAAGAAATTTTGACATTTAATTTCTTACTTAATTTTTATTGGCTCTAAAGTAGAAATTGAGTGAGGTTTCTCCTCGGCTTTTCCTTATGAAAAACTATATAACAAATTTAATTCGCTGTGTGTTAGTAATGGTATGGATTTTAAGAAACTGTAAATTTAGTATAAAACAGTCTACACTTTTTTCACATTGTACCAGACACATTTGATAAATTACGTATGTCAATATACATAAATAATAATATAATAATAATAATAATGACTTTATTGCTCATAATCTCACATATGATATATACAAATGAAACAGTAAAAAAATAACAAATAAAAATAACTTCTAATACGAGATTACATACACATAGAGCAATGGGCGACGTTCGCACTTAACTGCAAATTCGCAGAACCGCAGTTAATAACTGATCTAACATTCAAATTTGACGGAGCCAGTTCTATAATCTAAATTATATTTACACTTCTTGAAAAAAAAAAAAAAAAAATACATGAACAAAAGTTTAACTTAATTTTGTGAAATATGCAGAAAACTTCAACTAACAATAACCATATTCTTTATGAAAAAATGTTACAAAAAAGTGTTTAGTAGCTTAATCGACCTGTCGCTAATTATTTCATGACACTCATTAGATACCATATTATATAATTGGGAAAATAATATTTTTTTGTTTAATTAGCATTTACAATGTATATTTTATCATTATAGTAATTTTATTTGATCAATAACTTCGAAGTAGATTATAATTGAAAAACAAAACAGTTCTATGTTGCGAGTTACACTATAATTAAAAATAATTATATCATAATTTAAACCAGTCATGCAACATGCTTTCTTTCCATTATTTTAGTTGACCCAATAATGCGGGCATTTGTACTAATAATCTTGTTGTTTCTCAATAAGTCCAATTCAAAGATAGAGTATCTACCACAGAAAGAAATCGATTCGAGAGTGTCGCTATCCAAATGTATACTTTGGGCGTCAAAAACATTTTTCTCCGAAACTATAACTTACTCTACGCCTTTAGTGAACAGAAGCGAAACCGTTGTTACCATAAGCGACATATTTTTACCTTATTTACAATCTATGGCCTTTACGGATTTTCTTGTAAAGAATCTCGAAACCGCTCCAAAAAGAATCGCAGAGATACATAGATTAAAAAATTTTATAATACACTTCAGAGGCGAAAAAGATCTATACCAACAGTTGGAGCAACTGAAAGATAGAATGTTGTTTAACCCACACGCGAAATTTTTATTAGTCTCGACCACCGTTTATTCTAAACCTAACGAAATTGCCGCTAACGTTTCAAAATATTTATGGAACGAAAACGTCGTCGAATCGGTGATTTTAGTAACAAATCCACGAAACGTAACGCACTTTATAGCGTACTCTTGGAATCCGTTCAAAAAGAAACGCTGCCAACACGCTTTCATCGATACTGTACGTACTATTGACTCATGTTCTTTTGGCACGACGACGACGCGAGGCGCCAAATGGTTCGGAGATAAAATACCCAAGACATTCGCAAACTGTTCATTAAAAGTGAAGTATAACTTTTTTCCGCCCTACGCTCTAAAAGAAGGAGACGACGTTAAAGGATTCGAAATAAATATTTTGAAGATGATCGGCGAAAAGTTGAATTTAAGTTTTATTTTCGATGAAGTTTCGCCCGACGATTTTGGCGATATTACGAAGGATAACGTCGTGAAAGGTTGTTTTAAAGCTCTCGAAAATAAGTCGTATGATATAGCGATTGGTGGTTATCCCGTGCGATCACGTACGTCACTGTTTTTTGACGTTAGTCATTCGTATTTCCAAGATTCCATGATTTGGTGCGTACCCAGTGTACCGTTAATAAGCGATTTACAAAATGCTTCTAATTTTATCGAAGGCGTTTGTTACGTTTTAATAATCGGAATCCAAGTGCTCATTAGTTTTCTTTCATGGGCTTTGAGTGTTAAAAATATCACCGAACGCACGTTCTATAAAAGTTTTATGCAAATTTTTACTCACTCCTTTGCACTTACTTCCGGTGGAAACATGCCTCAAATACCTAAAACTGATAGCGTTCGATGCCTTTTACTTCTTTTAATAGTATTCTCTTTCATATTAAATACGTTGATGAACAGTTTCTTTATGAGCTTTTTCACGCGAAGCCATTTTCAAGAAAAATATACTTCAGTAGACGATATCTACCGATATAATTTGAAAACATATTTTTTTCCGCAACAAAGAAAATTTCTCAGACACTTTGTTAACGACGAGATATTTAACAAAATTGTTAAGGGATGGAGAAATTGTACAGAAATAAGATCTTGTTTGAAATACGTAACTGTAGATCAAGATTCTACGTTGTGTTTAAGTAAACTTTCGAAAGAATTCATTATTAACAACAATTTGGTGGATGATATTTATTGTTTGAAGAAAGATCAAATTCCCTATGAGGTGAATTTCTTGATGCGAAAAGGTTTTCCGATTCACGAGAAATTTAACGACATTGTGAGTAAGATTATAACCGCTGGATTTATCCAGAAGTGGACAAACGACGTAGAGAAATATAAAAATATGCATAGAACTACCAAGCATACTTTTATAACATTGAAAACACTCTGGCCAATTTTATTGTTTCATTGCATTTTCAATACAATAGCAGTTTTAATTTTCGCCATTGAATACTGTTATGGATGCAGAAATCAAAGAAACAATAATTCGATTGAAGATGAAAACCGTAAAATAAAATGTCATAGTTTCGACAACAAAATTGAATTTTGTTTTTAAAATAACACTTGATTGCATTTTACCTTTTAGAAAAACCATCGTTCGATTTCTACATTTTTTCTATTTAAGTCACATATTTGTCTAACAATTTCAGACATTTTTTCATTATGTCTTATAAATAATAAAAAGTAGCGTATCGTTTTATTTAAAACAGTTTATTTATAATTTATTTACACTAAAATACTAATTAATTTATTTATCCTAAAATATTGATCAGCACTATTCACACTTATAATAAAATGTATCTAATCATATAATTATATTAAATGCGAAAGTTTGGATGGATGTATGGATGGATGTTTGTTGCTCAATCACGCAAGAACGGCCGAACGGATCTAGATGAAATTTGGCACAAATATAGATTCTAGTCTGGAATAGCACATAAGCTACTTTTTATCCCGAAAAAATGTACGGTTCCCGTGGGATCGATTTGTTTTTGTTTTTCACAGAGCAAGGGATCGGACATCATTTTTTTCATAGTGGTAGTGAAACATGAAAATTTGAAATACTGCTACTGAGCATAAATAAATAATGACGTGTTTCAGGGTTTTTGGTTTTTTACATTTTAAGGGGGGAAACCGGGGGTTAAAAGTTTGCATAAAAGCATCGTATTTCCAAGATTCCATGATTTAGTGCGTACCCAGTGTACCGTTAATAAGCGATTTACAAAAAGCTTTTAATTTTATCGAAGACGTTTGTTACGTTTTAATAATCTGAATCCAAGTGCTCATTAGTTTTCTTTCATGGGCTTTGAGTTTTAAAAATATCACCGAACGCACGTTCTATAAAAGTTTTATGCAAATTTTTAGGTAGGAACTTGAAAATTGAAATTACAGCAACTCATCACAAATAAATGATGGTGTGTTCCAGGTTTTTGGATTTTCATATTTTTAGAGGGGAAAGAGGGAAAATGGGAGTAAGGGGGGAAATGAGGAAAAAAGGAAAATGGGGGAAATGTGTGGGGCGTGAAAGTTTGCATGGTAGGAACTTAAAAATTGGAATTGTAGGTACCTTTCATAAATAAATGAACATGTTTCAAAGTATTTGAATTTTGACGTGTTTCAGGGTTTTTTGATTTTTAAATTTTAAGGGGGGAAACGGGGGTTAAAAGTTGGCATGGAAGCATCGATTTTTTTATAGATAGCAACATGAAAATTGGAATTATAGCTACTCATCACAAAAAAAATAATGGTGTGTTTCCGGTTTTTGGATTTTCATATTTTAAGAGACGAAACGAAAGAGAGAAAAAGGGAGTAAGAGGGAAAAAGGGGGTAAGAGGGGAAATGAGGAAAAGAAGGAAAATGGGGGAAATTGGGCAAATGAGGGAATTGTGTAGGGAGTGAAAGTTTGTATGGTAGCAACTTGAAAATTGGAATTGTAGGTACTCTTTATAAATAAATAGACATATTAAGGAAGGAAACGTAAGGTGAAAATTGGAATTGTAGCTGCTTATCATAAGTAAATAATAACGTATTTCAAGGTTTTTGGATTTTCACATTTTAAGAAGGAAATATAAAAAAACAAAAAAATAAATAAAAATAAATAAAAATAAATAAAAATAAATAAAAGTAAATAAAAATAAATAAAAATAAATAAAAATAAATAAAAATAAATAAAAATAAATAAAAATAAATAAAAATAAATAAAAATAAATAAAAATAAATAAAAATAAATAAAAATAAATAAAAATAAATAAAAATAAATAAAAATAAATAAAAATAAATAAAAATAAATAAAAATAAATAAAAATAAATAAAAATAAATAAAAATAAATAAAAATAAATAAAAATAAATAAAAATAAATAAAAATAAATAAAAATAAATAAAAATAAATAAAAATAAATAAAAATAAATAAATAAAAATAAATAAAAATAAATAAAAATAAATAAAAATAAATAAATAAATAAAAATAAATAAAAATAAATAAAAATAAATAAAAATAAATAAAAATTATTAATCATACATTTTTTTAAATTATAAACACGACACCACGCGTGCAAAGCCGCGGACAAAAGCTAGTCTAAAAATATAGGGTTCCCGATAGATTTGTTTTCGACAGACATGATTTTTTCCATAGTGGTAGTGAAACATGAAAATTTGAAATACGGCTATTGAGCATAAATAAATAATGTTGTGTTTCAGGGTTTTTGTATTTTCCCATTTTAAGGGGGGAAACGGGGGTTAAAAGTTGGCATGGAAGTATGGATTTTTTTTTAAAGGTAGGAACTTGAAAATTGAAATTATAGCTACTCATAATAAATAAATAATGGTGCGTTTCAGGGATTTTGAATTTTCATACTTCAACCTTCCGGCAGTCGCGCCCACAAAGTTACGTGAACAGGCGCGCATGTGTCTCACAGATACACTACCATATTTTGGTATAAAATAAATTAAACATCAGTACCAGTAGATTTCTCAACTCTTCACAATTATTTTCGTTATTTAGATCGTATTTATTTTTTCCTGATGCCATTTTAATGCCTAAAAAAAATTAAAACATAAATACATCTTACAAAGGCGCATGTATCTCTCAGATACATATAGTATCTTGTCATTATATTTGATCATATAGAATGATAAAATATATTACAAGCATATTTATACATTAGCAGCAAATATTCAAAAGCCGTAAATGAACTAAAAAAAAAATTACATAAAGTGTCTTATGTAATTGTGAGATACAAAATATCAATATCTCAAAACGGCTGACCACTTGGAAATCACATGGCATTCTGTTAGATAGGACCACTGGAGCCAAGAAGGTAGGTAGGAGCGGAAATGTCTTGCTCTTTAGACGTGGTAGTACAAATGAAAAGAAAATTACGATGTATCTGAGGGATGATGCGACTGCCCGAATGTTAAAGGGGAAAGGGTAGAAGGGAAAGAAAGGAAAGACATGGTAGAAAGGGAGGGCAGGGGGAAAGTTTGAATGGAGATATCGCTTTTTTTTAAAGGTAGAAAATTGAAAATTAGAATTGCAACTACTTATTATTATTATATAAATAGACGTTAAGGGGGACACGGGAGGTGAAAGTTTCGGTTTTTTAAAGGTAGGAACTTTAATTTTTCCATAACGTTCATATTTATGGAGATATTCTCAATAATAAACTCATTAACTCCATATAATCAAAATATTCAGATTTTTTCTCAAATCCGTCTATTTTAAGAGATATTTTGAAAAAACTACGATTTTATGAAAAAAAAAAAAAAACTTCAATCGTCTTGCAGAACGTGTTCTTGTTGTTAAAAAAAAAAGAAATTCCCCGTATTTTTTCATCAAAAGGAAGATTTTTTAAGCCTTCGGAAAAAAATTAATTTTTATATAAAGAAATAAGTTTCTTTTCAAAATCAGTTTTAATTCGATTCACATAGCGGCTGTAATAAGACGGCAGGTGAAAAATATTCCGTTCAGTCGAATCGGTTTCCAAAAAAGCGTTGATATGATATATAGTAACTTAAAATGTTTACCGTGATATTTTGTGCTGGTAAAACGAATACATTCCGTAAATAATAATTAAGGATCCGAATAGGCTTTGGCCAATAAATACGTCCTAAATATTTTGTACGTTTCTAATTTTTTTTTTTAATTAAAATTCCGATCACCTTTAAATATTACTTATATTATTTAAAAAAGGGGGATAAATCTAAAATGGAAAATTATCGGCCTATTACAATTATTTCAAATTTCGCAAAAGTTTTTGAAATCGTTTTTCATAATAGGTTATATAGGAATATTGAAAATCAAATTTCGCCTATTCAACATGGTTTTCTAAAAGTCCATTGTGACAAATTTACTTTGTATTACACAGTTTATTGCTCAACATTTGGATGAATCATCGCAGGTAGATGTGCTCTATCTTGATTTCCAAAAAGCTTTTGATAGTCTTAATCACCACCTTCTTCTGGATAAACTAAGATGTTTTGGCCTAAGTCCATCCCTACTTTTATTCTTTCAATCATATTTAGAACAAGGAATTTCTATGTTGAGCATAAAGGTGTTAAGTCGTCGGTTACAGATGTCACATCTGGAGTACCTCAAGGATCCGTTTTGGGACCTTTGTTCTTTAATGTGTTTATTAATGACAACTTAAAAATTACAGTGTAAAACACTCCTATATGCTGATGACGTAAAGCTTTACAGAGAAATTAAATCTGAAAAGGATGCTATTGCTTTACAACGCGATTTGGAAATTGTTTCTAACTGGTACGTGAGTAATTTCTTGAAACTAAATATAAATAAGTGCTCCATTCTGAGTTTTTTCCGAAAAGACTATCCGTACTATTTCGACTACAAAATTAATAACCGTAAAGTGCCGAGAGTTGATATTTTTAAAGATCTAGGTGTGACCTTTGGCCGACAGCTTTCGTTTAATGTTCACATTGAAAATACAGTCCTTTCAGCGAATAAAATGTATGGAATGATATTTATAACATTTAAGGGTTTTACGGATATAGATAGCTTTATGCTTTTATTTAATGCATATGTTAGAAGTAAGGTTGAATATGCCTCCTTAATTTGGCAATCGGGTTATAGTACTTACTCTTCAATGTTAAAAAATGTCTAAAGAAAATTTCTCAAATATTTGTATTTTATAGACAATAGTAATTATCCACCTTTTGGCTTCCCTCATGTCATGACATTTTACTTAATCGTTATTCTGTTAGTTCTCTTTAAGATCGTAGATATATAAATTCTCTTATTTTCTTATACAAACTAATAAGTTCCGAAATAGATTCTTCTGAAATCTTAAATTTAATTAACGTTCGTGTTCCACGTGAAAATTCTAGGCACTCAACAACATTTTACTTACCCACTCCTAATACCAATATTTTAAAATATTCTCCTTTATATTTTATGTGTGATAATTACAATGCGTTGCAAGGTAGCATCAAATATTTTGATATTTTTATTTGTTCAATAAATAATGACATGTTTCACGGTTTTTGGATTTTCTCATTTGAAGGGGGGTATATAAATGCGAAAGTTTGGATGGATGTTGCTCAATCACGCAAGAACGGCT